GTAGAAGTGTGGAACGTAGGTCTTGTAAATGCTATTCCAAGTGTTCTACCCAGTGCCAGAAGTGTCTTTTATTTATTTAGGTCAGTTGTAGAGCCTGAACTCTGGGCCTGGGCGTTGTCCCTCAGCTCTTAGTGCACTACCACTTTGAGCCACAGCACCACTTCTGATTTTCTGGTGGTTTAATGGAGATTAGAGTTTCATGGATGTTCCTGCCTGGGCTGCCTTTGAGCCAAGATCCTCAGATCGCAGCCTCCTGAGTTGCTAGGATTAAAGACATGAGCCACTGGCGCCCAACAGAAGTGTGATCTTGCTTTTGCTGGCATAAGTAAGTTCAGAGCACTTGTAGTGGGCAGTTGACAATATCCAGCTATTGAAGGTTGGACAAGCAAAATTAAATGATACTTCATTTTAATTTGGCAATAATCAGCAGATAAATGAAGAGTTTTAACACAAAGATAACTTTTTGGCTCTTTTAGTTTAAAAGTCTTGTGATTAAGATTGCTATTGAGAACAGAAAAAACGATGACAAATGAACCATGTAGAAATTTATATGATCAGGTTATCTAAATAAGAATTACTTAATTTTTTTTAAGCTTGTTTTTGTGTATAGTACAAAGGAAATATTTTTTGTTGTTGTCTTCTTCCCCCTTAGGCTTCTGAATGCTTATGATGAACATCAAACACTCCTCAAAGAACAAGATACTTTAAAACGCAAAGCAGAAAATGGGTATGTAACTTACTGCTAAGTCAGGAAGAGTTCTGCAAGACATTTCAGTGTGGACATACAAATAATTCTTAATACTTTATCAACCATTGGTGTGAACTTTTTTTTTTTTTCTGTTGGTCGTGGGGCTTGAACTCTGGGCCTGGGTGCTGTCCCTCAGCTCTTTAGCTCAAGGCAAGCGCTCTACCACTTGAGCCACAGTGCCACTTCTGGTTTTCTAGTGGTTTTTATTGGAGATGAGTCTCATGGATTTTCCTGCCCAGGCTGGCTTTGAACCTCGATCCTCAGATCTCGCCTTCTGAGTAGCTAGGAGTGAGCCACCGGCTCCCGGCTTGATGTGAACTTTTTTTTTTTTTTTGGGTCCGGTTGTGGGGCCTGAACTCTGGGCCTGGGCGCTGTCCCTCAGCTCTTCAGCTCAAGGCTAGCGCTCTACCACTTTTGCCACAGGGCCACTTCTGGCTTTTTTCTTTTTGCTTATGTGGTGCTGAGGAATCAAACCCAGGGCCTCATGCATGCAAGGCAAGTGCTCTACCAAATTTTTGTTGGTCATGGAATTTGAACTCAGATATGAATGTCTTTACTGATTTGAAAAAAATATAAAATGAGTGGTTGAGAAGCTTTGAAACGAGTGAAGGCCTTTCATCTGGACAACGTGGTAACCCATCCCAGTGGGCTGTGCTGTGGAGAGGATACTTGAGTTAGAAAGCCAGTAGTAGGGTGGGCTGGGAATGTAGCTGAGTGGTACAGTACTTACCTAGCATGAATGAAGCCCTGGGTTCGATTCCTCAGTATCACAGAAACAAAAAAACAGAAATGGTGCGGTGGCTCAAGTGGCAGAGTGCTAGCCTTGAGCAAAAAAAGCTCAGGCACAGTGCCCAGACCCTGAATTCAAGCGCCAGGACTGGCAGAAGAAAAAAAAAACAAAAAAGCCAGTAGGTTGAGTGCAGATGGGGTCAACAAACTTCTAAGTAGTTGGAAATTAAAGTCTCTGAGTAAGGATGACAGATTAAAGGCAGGCAGATGGTAATAACATGAGTGAGGTCATGTTCTAGTGTAGGAGAGTGTTGAGATTGTTTAAACTCCATCAAAACTGATCAACTCAACTGAAGTTTAGCAAGAACATGGATACTGGGTAAGAGAGTCTTTAATTTTCATGAAGTTAGAAATAAAGATTTTTCATATGAAAGCATTAAAAACACTACCAGGGTTAATAAAATACCTTTAGACTTGAACAATAAGGCCACTGTTTTGCTGCTTTGAGTGACATCTCAATGTGATCTGCCAATGTAGCTGGAGAGTTGTAAGTTTGGAAAGTAAGAAGTAAGGCTACAAGTCTAGAAAAGGCTGACTAGAAAAAGCTTTGTCCCGTTTGCTGAAAAACATGCAATATATGGTGGTAGAGGGTTCTTTGAGGAGGGGATGGAGCAGTTTCATCTGTGCTTTGGGCAGATAATCTGATAGACTTTGAATCTATCAGAGGTCATATGTCAGGATGCTTCAGAAATACATGACATAGTAAAGTTCTTAGGATACACTATTTTTTTGGGGGGGGAGGGGCTCTGGTTGTGGGGTCTGAACTCTGGGCCTGGGCTCTGTCCCTCAACTCTTCAGCTCAAGGCTAGCCCTCTACCACTTGAGCCACAGCACCACTTCCGGCTTTTTTCTTTTTGCTTATGTGGTGCTGAGGAATCCAACCCAGGGCCTCATGCATGCAAGGCAAGCGCTCTACCACTGAGCCACCTTCCCAGCCCCAGGATACACTATTTTTGAAGAGACTGAATGCATTAAAAAAAGAATTGTTGAGTTTAACCTGTTGTTTTCCAGCATCTGTCCAGCTATATATTTGTCACTAGATGTCTTCAGAACAGCACCAAAAAGAAAAAAAGAGCCAGACGCTGGTGGCTCACACCTGTAATCCTAGCTAATCAGGAAGCTGAGATATTAGGATAGCGGTTCAAAGCCAGCCTGGGCAGGCAAGTCCGTGAAACTCTTATCTCCAATAAACCACCAGAAAACTGGAAGTGGCACTGTAGCTCAAGTGGTAGAGCACTAGCCTTGAGCTGAAGAGCTGAGGGACAGGGCTCAGGCCCAGGGTTCAAATCGCATGAATGACAAAAGAAAAAAAGAGAAACTTCAGTTAAATATACATAGATGATATTCATCTAGAATGCCCTGTGTGAGGGCCCTTTTTTTTTTTTTTTTTTTTGGTCGGTCATGGGGCTTGAACTCTGGGCTTGGGCACTGTCCCTGTGCTCTTCAGCTCAAGGTGAGCACTCTACTGCTTGAACCACAATGCTACTTCCTGTTTTTCTAGTGGTTTATTGGAGATAAGAGTCTCATGGACTTCCCTGTCCGGGCTGGCTTTGAACCATGACCTCAGATCTCAGCTTCCTGAGTAGCTAGGATTATAGGCGAGAGCCACCAGCACCTGGCTATGAGTTTTGATTGAAAGTTTGTTTTGACCTTTTCTATAGATCGGAAGAACCAGAAGAAAAGAAAGCACACATGGAAGATACACCATCATCTACACAGATGATTGATGGTGATTTACAGGCAAATCAAGCTGCATATAATTATAGTGCCTGGTATCAAGTGAGTCCGCATAATTTTTTTTTCTTGCTGATACTTAGCCTCATGCTGGCTTGGCTTTCTTGCTTATAACTGGTATACCACTTGAGCCATGCCTACTGTTGAGATTTTTGTTGGTTAACTGGAAATTGAGTCCCTGGATATTTCTGCCAGGGATAGCAGAAATGGCCATGATCCTCTACTTCTCAGCCTCCCTAGTAGCTGGGATTATAGATATGAGTTACTGATGCCTGTACTTTTTGCTTCTTTGAAAGAACACACCTTTGCCATTGTTTTGTATAATCCATGCTTCTTGTGGTTTGTTAGGATTTCAGCAATGAACACATCTATTTTCTTATACTAGTTTTTTAATATATGGAATCCAGCTATAGTTCTGGAATCCTAACATATTTGCTTTTTCTTTTCAGTACAATTATCAGAATCCTTGGAATTATGGACAGTATTATCCTCCTCCTCCAACCTGATGGGAAACAAATCAGATGGGAGTGTATGAAAAGGATCAGTTTTTAAATGAGGGATGTAAACATAGCATAAGCTTGTTTTATTTGATAATTTGTCTTCCTTGTTTTTGTGTAACATGATTTGTTTAGTAATAAGGGAAATGTCAATTAGTAGCTTATCAGATACTATTTCCTACCGTTTATAAATTTTACTTTGTATTGGAGAACTATTTTTTTTATTTTTTTGCATTAAGTGGTCTAGGATTCTTTTGCAATGCACTTGCAAGAGTTTTATAGCCTTAGGAAAAAACTGACTGCCAATCATGTCAGTGTAGTACAGATTCTGAAAACACATAAGGGCTGGTTATTAGGGATTTCTTCTGTAAAAACAGGGAAAAAGAAAACAATGATTTTTTTTTTAACGTTGATGTTATCAGATTGTTTCCGTTGTACTTGTGAATTTGGAGCTAATTTCAGAAAACAAACTATTAAAAGACCATGCCTTGGGGATAGATTATAAATGAGAAAATGTCACATTTGCATCCCGTTACAAATGAAAATCATATCAAAAGTATGTTGTTTCCAGAGACTTTGTACTTAGAATATTCATGTAAAACTTGTGAACAAGCTTTCATTTTGATCAAACTGATCATCTTCATTTTTGTAATAAAGCTGAAGACTCATCCAGCAATTGCTTATGAATTCATTTTGTGGGAGAACACCTAATACATATTCAATATTACTAGTGGTTTGTGTTGCGGAACTTCAATTTATCAAGGAATAAAGAACTTCTGCCAAGATTGCTTAGCCCTCTGAACTTTCAGCTTAAAGGGCTGGGAAGTTGGCTCAGGGGTAGAGATATACCCTTGGCCTTTTTTTTTTTTCTTTTTGGTCAGTTGTGAGATTGAACTCTGGGCCTAGACACTGTCCCACAGCATAAGGCAAGCTATCTACCACTTGAGCCACAGTGCCACTTTCAGTTTCTTGGTGGTTAATTGGAGATGAGAGTCTCGGGTATTTTCCTGCCTAGGCTGGCTGTGAACCATGATCCTCAAATCTCAGACTTCTGAGTAGCTAGGATTACAAGTGTGAGCACCTAGCACCCTTAGTTTCTTAACCATATTGGGATAAAGACAAAAGGGATAAAGGCAAAAATCTCCAATTACAAATTATTCCGATAGGATGAGGTCTCACTTTGTATTCCAAATCAGAGCATTAATACAAGTTAACACCAAACCAATCAAAGATATAGTTGGTAAGATTTTATTGAGCCTTTTAGATTACATGAGGTAAAAGGAAAAAGTACTCCTTAACCAATATTTTACACAGCTATACCAAAATATTTTAGATTTGTGGGACTTATACGGGACTGCATTTCTCAAAAATTGGTATCAAGTATAAACATGGGTTAACTCCTTGGATTTTCCAGTTGACTATTCCAACACAAGTTTCAAGGCCAAGTTTTATCACTGCTGATCTCTTCAGATCTGAAGAACTATTTTAATCGATGTCCACTAATTCCACTTCAAAAATAAGTTTTGCATTTGGTGGAATTCTGTTGAAAGTCAAGGTAAATATGACAAAAAGTGCCTCATCCTGACCCACAATAACCTTGGTATAAAATCAGAATTATGTTCTGGGTTTTACCCCTAGAGCTTTTGCTGGGTGTGGTAGTATATCCTCAGTATTTATGAGACTGAGGCAGGAAGAGTGCTAAAATCAGGAAGATAAGAGTGACTATATAGTGAAATGAAATAATACTGTCTCAAATGGGAGGAAATAAAAGCTTAGAGCTTGATTTAGAATGTGATGCATTACTAGCAATAAGTACCCTAATGGAAATCATAACCTTTCAATACATGATCCATATGAGGAAACTGCAGCTGGCTTTGTGATTTCAGTTGGCTATTACATTTTTGAAGTTTAGTAAGACTAAAACCTAAGCCAACAAGAATAAAACCAACAGCTATAAACTACCTTCCCATTTTCCTATATATTAGCCTGAATAATCTCAAGTGATTGAGATTTTGGTTTTGTGTTTACTGAGCCTATCAGAAGTACTGTGATTAACATTAATAAATATATTTCTTTATACTATTTGTCCTGTTCTCATATTACAGTTGATACTTCTATTCATTTAACCTTAAATTATACCATAGTATAAAACTGTCCTGATGTATTTATAGTTTGCTAAAAAGTTGTATTGTGCCTTGTAACTACTTAAAGTAATTTCTTCAGACATCTAAGTAAGAATTGCCTTTCAGAGATGCAACTTTTCTATTTAAGATCTTAAAAATTAAGACTAAGAGAATATGAGACACCTTGCACCAACAGAAGTATCTGCTGGGTGTGTCAGAAGTTTTGCAGTTATTCCTTTGTAAGGACGTTGAGATAGGAAGGATTTTTTTTTTTTTTTTGGGTCCAGTTGTGGGGCCTGAACTCTGGGCTTGGGCGCTGTTCCTCAGCTCTTCAGCTCAAGGCTAGCGCTCTACCACTTGAGCCACAGCGCCACTTCCGGCTTTTTTTTTCTGCTTATGTGGTGCTGAGGAATCGAACCAAGGGCCTTAAGCATGCAAGGCGAGCGCTCTATCACTGAGCCACCTTCCCAGCCCCGAGATGGGAAGGATTCTTAAGGCCAGCCAGGGCAATGTGAGACTCCATCAAGAAAAGTACAATCTGTTAAATGCTGACACATAAATATGTGAACAGCAAGAGCATTCTGGACAGGAATCCTGATCTGATCTAGAGGCTAGTCTAGATAACATCTTTCACATCTTCAGGTGCTTTTATGTTTCTGCTTTTAGTTACGAAGAGAAAAAAGAAAGGATACTTGGCATCAGGCTGTCCTTTCTTCCCATAAGCCCATTCTGGTTCAATCTCCAGTCGAGCCTTTTCTCCTTTACTCATAGTCAAAAGTGCTTCATCCCACTAAAGACAAGAGCAAAGTAAAAAAATTAAAATGTTCAAAAGACAGAACAACAAAAATCATTCATAAAAGCAGCCTATTATTGTATTTTATTGTCTTAAGGCATTATACCTGATTGAGTGCTAAATGTGTCTTTAATTTTCTCGGGGAAAAAAGGAAAAATGCTTTTTATTTTCAATGTAATGGTCAAACTCTCTAAATGATATAACGTGAATATTAGTGCAATATCTCACATTATAAAAGCACCATTATGAGAATTTTACTCCAAAAGCTTTTTTTCTCTAGGGGTAAATTCCACAACTTGTATGCATACAAACTTACCCTGTTAGAGCACCAAGATCTTTTGAATAAGGCAAAGTTTTCAAAGAAATGTTGATTTGTTCTTGGTTGCCTTTCCCCTTTTATCACATTTAGATCTTAAAGCCAGTCCCACAAGTGTTAAATGGCAGTGAAGACAATATAATCATACTGTTAAAATGCAATAATCATATAAACTTCAATGGAGAAAAAATTCACTTGATAGTTACCTCCACATAGTAGGAAGGCACTAAACACTGAGCTTTTCTACTAAGCCTTTAGTTGCAAGATGTTTTTTTTCTTTTTTGTCAGGCGTGGGGCTTGAACTCTGAGCCTGGGTGTTGTCCCTCAGCTCTTCAAGCTCAAGGCTACCACTCTATCACTTGAGCCACGGCGCCACTTCCAGGTTTCTAAGTAGTTTATTGGACGTAAGTGTCTCTCAGACTTTCCTGCTCAGGTGGGCTGGCTTTAAACCGAGATCCTCAGATCTCAGTCTCAGCCTCTTGAGTAGCTAGGATTATAGGCATGAGCCACTGGCACCCAGCCAAGATGTTTTGTATTCTCTAAGCTGAGTATGAGTAAACCCAACCTTAGGACTGGCAAAGAGTGATACTTTAGATATTCCATAACCAGGTACTATTGGCTCATGCCTGTAATCCTACGCAAGAGGCTGAGCTCTGAGAATCCTGGTTTGAAGTCAAGTGGGGCAGGAAAGTGAAGACTCATCTCCAATTTTTAAAAAAGCTGGAAGTAGAGCTGTGGCTTAAATGGTAGGGCAATAACCTTGAGCCCTGAGTTCAAGACTCAGGACTGCCCACTGTCCCCCTCCTCACCAAAAAAAGCTTATGACTTTATTTTTGAAGTTCTCAATACATGATCTTAAAACAATGGTCAGAACCTGGCATGGAAATGTGATTCTGTTGGGCAAGGAAGATGGCTCAATGGTAGAGCGCTTGCCTTGCATGCCTGAGGCCCTGGGTTTGATTCCTTAGCACCACATAAGCAAAAAGAAAAAAGCCGGAAGTGGCGCTGAGGCTCAAGTGGTAGAGCGCTAGCCTTGAGCTGAAGAGCTGAGGGACAGCGCCCAGGCCCAGAGTTCAGGCTCCATGACCGGACCCCAAAAAAAAAAAAAAAAGGAAATGTGATTCTGTGAAGCTGACTGCTACCCTTCATTACATCTCATTTTGAACACTAGTATAGTAATATAGTGTAATACAGGTGGGTAAAGTATGCCTAGTTTATGTTTCAAAAATATTTTTACAGAAACAAACTGAGCAGTTCAGTGAGACAAATATTTTACCTCTCCACATTATCTACATTCCCTTTCCAGATTACATATAAATTCTCTCTCTCTTTTTACTTTTATTTTTTGTGTGTGTCATAGGGCTTGAACTCGGGGATTGGGCTCTGTCCCTGAGCCCTTTTGCTCAAGGAGAGCACTCTACCATTTTGAGCCAAAGCACTACTTCTGGTTTCAGAGTGGTTAATTGGAAATAAGAGTCTCAGGGACTTTCCTGCCCTGGCTGTCTTGGAACCACAATCCTCAGATCTCAGCCTCCTGAGTAGCTAGGATTACAGGCGTGAGCCACTCTCACCCTGCTCTGGATTACAAATAAATTCTTTATAATTCTTTTCTTGTTTGTCATGGGCCTTCAATTTAGGGCCTGGGAGATTTCCTTGAGCTCTTTTGCTCAAGGCTAATACTCTACCACTTTGAGCCACAGCTCCACTTCCAGTTTTCTGGTTAACTGGAGGTAAGAGTCTCATGGACTTTCTCCTGCCTAGGCTTACTTTAAATGGTGATCCTCAGAGCTCGTTCTCTTGAGTTGCTAGAATTATAGGCTCTTTCTTTACAAGACTTTTAAAGACCAAATTAGAAAGCCAAACATTATGGCAAAGTTTGGCCTTATGAAGAGAAATAGAAAAGGGTTAGAAATTGAAGGAACTGGGCTGGGAAGGTGACTCAGTGGTAGAGCGCTTTTGCCTGAGGCCCTGGGTTCGATTCCTCAGCACCACATAAGCAGAAAAAAAAGTCGGAAGTGGCGCTGTGGCTCAAATGGTATAGTGCTAGCCTTGAGATGAAGAGCTGAGGGACAGAGTTCAGGCCCATGACCAGACTCAAAAATAAAGAAAAAAAGAAATTGAAGGAACTAATACTTCGGTCCCTTCTACACTGATGTTTTAAGGTATGTTCATTTAATCTTGTAATAACCTCAGAAGTGTGGATACTACTGAATAGGAAACAAGAGAACTGATGCCAGATCACCTAGCAATGAGAGTGTCCAATGTGTCTGACTGAAACAATTACTTTCATTTTATCGCAATATTTACATACATCATAGCAAATTAAGCATATGATTAGCCATTCTTTACTTACTCCTCTGATAACTTTACCTACTCCAACCTTAAAACTTAAAGGCTTGGCACTTTTCTTCTTCTTTGAACCTGTAAAATAGATTAAAATATTATTGATATACGCATTCTTTTTTTTAAGATCTGAGACCAGAACTTGAACTCAATACCTGCCACTTTTGTTTACTGGCTAGAGCTCTACCAACTGGGCCTCCAACTCATACAGTCTAGTTGTTTTTTTTTTTAATTAAATTCAAGTTTTAGTGGAAACATAGTCACTTAATTACACTTTTAGAATTGCAATACTACAAAGTTTAAAAATTCAAAAAGCCAGGGGCCAGTGGCTCACACCTATAATACTATTCAAAAGGTTGAGGTCTGAGGATTGCGGTTTGAAGCTAGCTGGGCAGAAAAGTGCCAATACATACACACACACACACCTGTACTCATAAAGGCAGCAGATAAATTCAAGATATAAAATTATAAGACTAAGAGATTACAGCTATAATAACATGACTAAAACTATTTTAAGCCTTTCATATACAAATACTAAAAGCATCACTTTTGGACAGCGATATGATCTGAACATCAGCTTGGTCCTCAATGTAGTATTGTTGAAATGTGCTGGAGATTTAAGAGGTGATTAGTAGTCATTAAGAATTAATGTGGGAGCTGGGCACTGGTGGCTCACGCCTGTAATCCTAGGTACTCAGGAGGCTGAGACCTGAGGATCACGGTTCAAAGCTAGCCCAGGCAGGAAAGTCCATGAGACTCATCTCCAATAAACCACTCAAAAACTGGAAGTGGCACTGTGGCTTAAGTGGTAGAGCACTTGCCTTGAGTTGAAGAGCTGAGTGACAGCGCCCAAGCCCATAGTTCAAGCGCCATGACAGACCAAAAAAAAAAAAAAAGAATTAATGTGGGGTAGGGGTTGAGGGGGGGGCTGGGAAGATGACTCAGTGGTAGAGTGCTTGCCTTGCATGCATGAGGCCTTGGGTTCGATTCCTTAGGACCACATAAGCAGAAAAAACCAGAAGTGGTGCTATGGCTCAAGTGGTAGAGCACTAGCCTTGAGCTGAAGAGCTGAGAGACAGTTCCCAGGCCCAGAGTTCAGACCCCACGACAGGCAAAAAAAATAATAATAATAATTCAGGGCTGGCAATGTGGCTTAGTGGTAGAGTACTTACCTAGCATGCATGAAACCCTAGGTTAAATTCCTCAGTACCACATAAACAGAAAAAGCCAGAAGTGATACGGTGGCTCAAGTGGTAGAGTGCTAGCCTTGAGCAAAAGAAGCTCAGGGAGGGGCTGGGAAGGTGGCTCAGTGGTAGAGCGCTTGCCTTGCATGCCTGAGGCCCTGGGTTCGATTCCTCAGCACCACATAAGCAAAAAGAAAAAAGCCGGAAATGATGCTGTGGCTCAAGAGGTAGAGCGCTAGTCTTGAGCTAAAGAGCTGAGGGACAGCGCCCAGGCCCAGAGTTCAGGCCTCACGACCGGACCCAAAAAAAAAAAAAGAAGCTCAGGGACAGTGCCAAGCCCTGAGTGCAAGCTCTAGGACTGGCAAAAAAAAAAAAAAAAAGGAGGAGGAGGAGAAGGAGGAAAGAGAAGAAGGAGGAGGAGAAGAAGAAGAAGAAAGAAGAATTAATACTATTTTCATATGAAGTATCTTGCTCTTGTGGGATTGGTTTTATCAAGAAGATTATTCATAAATCAAGGCTGGCATATCTTACCAAGTGCTTCTCTTTCACACACTCCCAATGGCTTCCTTTTTACTTTTCCACTATGCACAGAACAGCACGTTCCTCACCCCAGAAAGGGAGCAGATGCTGCTTGCCCCGTGTTCTTGGAAGGTCCAAACCATGACCTCTTTTATAAGACGGTGTCTCAACATGTAGCCTAAGCTAGCCTTAAACTACTTATGGTCCTTCTGCCTCAACCTTAGTGTTAGGTTTTTCAAGTGAGAGCCATCATGCCTGATTTAAACTTTACAAACTACTTAATCTACTAAGGTAATAGAAAACAAGTTAAAACAGATACAGCCAAGGAAAACCTTCTGCATCAGCTTGTCTGTTACACAATACTTTCTAATGATTAAAGGCAAAAATACAATGATATGTAAGACTTACTTGTTTGAATATTAGTATCAAAAACAGTTCCATCCTGTAGTGTTCCTGTATACCAGCAGTGAACAACATCTCCCTTTTTGGGAAAGTTTGTTTTATCCCCCTTTTTTAAAATAGATTTTGTATATTTTGGTGGACCCTAAAAACAAAACAAAATCTCAACAGAGTATTTTTATTCTTTTAGAAAGATGACAGTATACTTACATAGCCCAAGTCTGATCGTGAGTCTGACGATAAAATAATTTTACCTCTAGCCAGTAGAATTTGTGGCTCAATTGGTAGAGCACTTGAGAAAAAAAAAAATCTCAAGACTTAGCCCCTAGGTTCTAAGTTCAAGCCCTAGTATGGGCACAAAAACAAAACAACCACCACCAAAAACCCCCCATAAAATTTGGGACAGATCGTTAAGCTAGGCTTGGGCTATTTCCTTTGTCAGGAATGTCTACGTACATTAATAAAAGCTAAAAATAACTTTAAAGTTTATTTCACCAAGTCCAACCTGGTTATAAAATAGTTTTTAAAATAGCTTTGAACAATCAAAATGTCTGTGGAGGCAATACTAAATACAAAGTCAGAAGTTACTTCATAGAAATAACTGAAAGAATTATTTAGGGAAATGGTATACTTCAAATCAGAGTCTGGCTCACTGCCTATATTCAACCATCTCTCAGTTTAAAAAATTAGTACTATAGGCTAGTAGCCAGTAGTTCACAAGAGTAATCCTAGCTACTCAGGAGGTTGAGACCCAAGGTTCAAGGTTCCAACCCAGCCCTGGCAGGAAAATCCATGAGACTCTTACCTCCAATTAATCACACACCCCTACCCCGCCAAAAAAAAAAGCTACTCTTAAGCAAGAGAACCTCAAGGACTGCACCCAGACCTTGATTTCAAGCCCCAGGATCAGCACAAAAAAAAAAAAAAGAAGAAATGAAGTACTATAGAAAACAAATACAATTTCTAGAACACACACAAGCAATAAAGTAGAAAAAACACAAACCTCATCCAGAGTCTCTTCAGACTTGGTTTCTTTGGGTTTATCTTCATTAAGCTTCACATTTTTTACTTGCTCAGATACTTTACTTATACTTTCAGTACCTTTGAAACGCTGTAAAAAACATTCTGTCAATACTGCAAAAATGCTAAAAACTAGCAACTGCAACTAGATTTTGAACATTTAGAAGAATGAACATCTGCCCAATGAATACATATTATGTAACTTAAGCATAAATCTAACCAAATCACCTAAGAATAACTGTATTAATAAGCATTTTAAAGGTCTGGGAATGTGGCTTAGTGGTAGAGTGTTTGCCTAGCATGTATGAAGCCCTAGGTTCAATTCCTCAGTACCAGATTAAAGAGAAAAGGCCAGAGTAGAGGTGTAGCTCAAGTGGCTCAAGTGGAAGAGTGCTAGCCTGGAGCAAAAGTTCAGGGACAGTGTCCAGGCCAGTTCAAGCCCCAGGACTGGCAAAAAAAAAAAAAAAAGGCACCTTTTAAAATCAATTAATTATGTCTTTCAGACAGACCATCTCTAAATGAGAGCTATAATGTTTTAAAAGCCAGTCAAACTTGGAAATATGAATGTTGTTTACCAAAGTATTTATTAATGATCCTTTCATTCTAATAAAATACTGGAGATTTTTTTTTTTTTTTTTGTCAGTCATGGGGCTTGAACTCTGGGCCTGGGCGCTGTCCCTCAGCTCTTCAGCTCAAGGCGAGGGCTCTACCACTTGAGCTACAGCGCCACTTCCGGTTTTCTGGTGGTTTATTGGAGATAGGAGTCTCACGGTCTCTCCTGCCCGGGCTGGCTTTGAACCACGATCCTCAGATCTCAGCCTCCTGAGTAGCTAGGATTACAGGCGTGAGCCACCAGCGCCCGGCTAATACTGGAGATTTTTATAAAGCTTTCTAATGGAACTTTACTCTGTCCATATAACAGGTTATATGTAGTGTAAGTGGCAAATTATGTCCTATGGAAAATTATGATTAAGAATTTGTTGGTGGGGCTGGGAAGGTGGCTCAGTGGTAGAGCGCTTGCCTTGCATGCCTAAGGCCCTGGGTTCGATTTCTCAGCACCACATAAGCAAAAAGAAAAAAGCCAGAAGTGGTGCTGTGGCTCAAGTGGTAGAGCGCCTTGAGCTGAGGAGCTGAGGGACAACGCCCAGGCCCAGAATTCAGGCCTCATGACCAGATCTCCCCCCCACCCCCCCCAAAAAAGAATTTGTTGGGCATCAGAGGCTCATACCTGTAATCCTAGCTACTCAGGAGATTTAGCTCTGAGGATCACCATTCAAAGCCAGCCCAGGCAAAGTCTCTGTGAGACTCATTTCCAATTAACTACTCAAAAGCCGTAAGTGGTGCTGTGGCTCAAAGTGGTAGACCACTAGCCTTGAGCAAAAAAGCTCACAGACAGCATGGAGGCCCTGAGGTCAAGCCCAACGACTAACAAAAAAAGAAAAAAGAAAAAGAATTTGTTATCTCAATTCATTGGAATAGGAAATTATTTTTAATCCGGTCTTTTAGCCGGGCACCAGTGGCTCTCACCTGTAATTCTAGCTACTCATGAGGCTGAGATCTGAGGATTACTGTTCAAAGCCAGCCTGGGCAGGAAAGTCCATGAAACTCTTAACTCCAATAAACCGCTTGAAAACCGGAAATGGCAATGTGGCTCAAGTGGTAGAGCATGAAGAGCTGAGGGACAGCACCCAGGCCCAGAGTTCAAGCCCCACAACAGACCAAAAAAAAAAAAAATCCAGTCTTTTTTAGAATGCCAAAATATTCTCTCACATTGCAAGTTAGCCTTATTAGATTTGACAGTCCTGTTTTGGTAACAGTTAAGAAAAACTACAGATGAAAAACCTCCAACCTTTTCTGTGAATGAATGTACTTAAATCTTCATTTTGGAAAATGATGTTCTGCTAACAGAATACAACAATACTCACCTTACTTTCAAAGAGATGGTTATAGGCTGTAACCAAATGGTCCTTATTAGCCGTCTTGGCTACGTTTTTAATGTTTCCTAATAATTTATGCTCTGCCAGAAACTACAAAGAAAAAAACTGGTTAGTTGAAAGCTGGTTAAATCTTTCAAGCAAGAAAGATCTGAAAGTAAAAAGTTGAGCCTGGAGTGATGGTCCATGCCTGTAGCTCTAGCTACTGTAGAGGCTGAAACAGGAGAATCCTTTGAACCTAGGAGATGAATACTGGCCTGGACAACACAGCAGAAATACTTTAGCATAAGCACAATGAGATCTGATTGTGACATTTATACAATTTGATATAATTTACCTTGATCAAATTCAACCCATTTATTTTCCCCTTTAAGTACCCTTCTTCCTACACCTTCCATTTTACATTTCATTGTGCTATTTTCATAGAAAATGTACTTCTACAATGGGCTGGGAAGGTGGCTCAGTGGTAGAGCGCTTGCACAATATTCACCCACCCCTCAGCTGTGTTTTTCAATAAGACTAAGAAATGAAATAAACATTGATACTGTACATTTACTATATATATATTATATATATATATTTGTTGTTGTTGTTGTCGGTCATGGGGCTTGAACTCTGGGCCTGGGCACTGTCCCTCAGCTCTTCAGCTCAAGGCTAGTGCTCTACCACTTGAGCTACAGAGCCACTTCCGGTTTTCTAGTGGTTTATGGAGATGAGTTTCACAGACTTTCCTGCCTGGGCTGGCTTTGAACCATGATCCTCAGATCTCAGCCTTCTGGGTAGCCAGGTGTGAGCCACCAGCACCCCGCTCATTTTATATATTTTTATCTCCTGCTTCATGTAAAAAGTAGACTTAAAAATACCAGTTATTTATAATAACTCTTAAGGCTATGTTTGGGAGAAGATGGCTCATCCTAATCTTTTTCTCATCAAAGAATGCACATAAAGGGGCTAGGGGTTTAGCCCAGCGGAAGGGCGCCCGCCTGGCGCGCGCAAGGCTGTGGGTTTGGTTCTCAACCCTGGCTTAAAAAAGACACATAAAGCTACAAAAGACCAAAAAAAAAAATAAAAATAAAAATAAAAAAGAATGCACATAAAAGACCATCTACATAATAAGCACATGAAAAGCAGCTGCTCATGCAGAAGCCTTCTTGGTCCTACCCTTGGAAGCCACTAGCCCTGGTGAGCATAGCTATCTTGACCTATGCCTGCTAAGAATAGTGCATGGGCTAAAATCCTCCTTGTCTCACACTACATAAGAGACCATGTTTTTCTAAAGGCTCAGTTTTCTATCTATAATGAAAGATTAATAACATCTATGTCAAAGTGTTGCTATAAATGCAATACTTCATGTATTTAGCATACATAACCTCTCACGATAAGAATATATTAGCTATTATGACTAAAAAATATTTAATAATTCAGGATAACAATTCCTTTTCTGTCAAATATAAGAAGTTGAGAGATTAACTCCAAAATAGTTCTTCTAAAATATTAAAGCACCAACAATGAAAGTTTGATGGCCAGTCTAAGCTACAAAGCAAGATTCTGATTTAAAAAAAAAATCATATATTAGAATTCTAGTAACTAATAACTAAATTTACATCTTTGTTCTGCTTCCTTTCCTGCCTGTGTTTCTTTTTTTTTTTTTTTTTCCTTTTTGAGGTCCAGTTGTGGAGCCTGAACTCTGGGCCTGGGTGCTGTCCCTCAGCTCTACAGCTCAAGGCTAGCGCTCTACCACTTGAGCCACAGCGCCACTTCCGGCTTTTTTTCTTTTTGCTTATGTGGTGCTGAGGAATCAAACCCAGGGCCTCATGCATGCAAGGTAAGCGCTCTACCACTGAGCCACCTTCCCAGCCCTCTGCCTGTGTTTCTTGCTGGATTCACTTTGAAAGTTATCCTTCAGTATCACCATTTTTGGAGGCTTTTTTTTTGTAAGTTATGGGGGTTGAACTCTGGGCCAGGCACTGTCCCTGAGCTCTTTTTCTCAAGGCTAGAGCTCTACCACTTTGAGCCACAATGACACTTTTGGTTTTCTGGTGGTTACTTGGAGATAAGAGTCTCATCCTGGATGGGCTGGCTTCCAACCACGATTTTCAGGTGTCATCCTCCTGAGTAGCTAGGATCACAAACATGAGCCACCAGTGCCAAGCATCTAACAGTTTTTCTTTTTCACATTATTGCTACTGCATTATTTTCCTCTTTGCTTCTCTCTCTCTGAAATACTCTGAAGAAGGCTGACTGGAGAAACATGAAGGCTTATTACACAGAAGCAATCAGTTGCTTTAGCATTCTCATAATTTCTTCAGCAAGGTTCCAGGAAAATATCTAAAATAAATCTCTTTGATATCAATAAAATGACTATCAAAAATTTGTTTATGTATGTGAATGATCACTATAAAAAACACATTTAAAAGATAACTGTCAAGGGTGCCCCTGTAATCCTAGCTACTCAGGAGGCTGAGGACAGGGTTCGAACCCAGTCTGGGAAGGAAAGTCCATGAGACTCTTCCCCAGTTAACTGGCAAAAAAGATGGGAAAAGAGCTGTGGTTCAAGTGGTGGAATGCTAGCCTTGAGTACAAAAGATCAGGGATAGCACCCAGGCACTGAATTCAAACCTAGGACATAGAGACAAACAGCACATGCGCACATGCACACAAACTGTCACAGTAATAGAACCCAATTCTCTTGAAATGTTCCACACTAGCCAGCTGAATATTAGATTCTACATTGAAATAATTTGTTTTCTAAGAAATTAATGAAGTTTTGAAGCATTAGTTACTTGTCTATTCCATTGAAACACTGTTTTAAGAAGCAATAGTTTGAATAAAATGTTATTAGAATCCTAATCGGGTCTTTTTCACTCTGGTATCCTCACTGTCAATATTCTCTATCAACATACATATATATATATATATATATATACATATATATTAATAAAACAAAAATGATTGGATACTGACGCTATGAGAATTATGCATACATCATGAAATCGAAGTTGGGAGTTCTTTTATCACTGCAAATATACACTGTATCACCCATACCTCTGAATGATTAACGTTACATTTTGAGAATTTAGAATTAAAAACACTCGATGCTTTGCCATTTCAGACTTTTGCAGTTTCCATTTATATCTGAAGGAAAACTGTGTACACAATGAAGTGTAATGGAGTTTAACTGATCAAGTTATGTGCCTACTTTCTAAACCACAAAAAAGAAAAAAAAAAAAAGGTCTGGCACAAGTAAGCTGTGACTACAGACGTTGGTTAAGATGGAGTCTGCTGAGACACTGCTGGGCCTACAGGAAAATGAATGCCAATGAAGTTCTCTATCTGGTGGTTTCTAACAATGGGAGACCAAGGTACAAGGAATGTAGGTCCCAACTCCCCTAAAAAAAAAAAAAATCAAAGGTCATAAGGCCACATAAAGGGTTAATTAAAAAGAAAACGTTGAGCCACCACGTGTCTCGGCCTCGGAGAAACCCCTGGAAGGAATCGAGGTTGGGTATTCAGTAGGCTGGTGAGAAAAGCAAGTTGCCAACGGCGTCCTCACGGCGACCTTCCCAGCCCCCTCCTCTCGGGGTCACACACACACCCCCGAGCATCGGCCCAACCTTCACCCCCCCACACCCTCCCACCCCCGGGCTGCTGCTTTCCTTCCACCCAAGGATCCCCAACTGGGTGTGAATCCTGCGATCGCAGCCCGCACGCCGCGGGCGGGAGAGATGGGAGGCCCGCGGGGAAGCAGGGGCGGCCCGAGGGGCGGGAGCGAGGCGCCGAGGCCTCGGCGCGCCGCTCGGGCCGGGCCCGCCGCGGGAGGACGAGGGCGGGGGCACCGAGGAAAACCGGACGTCTAGACATCCATGGGGGGGGGGGTGTCCCTCAGCCGCACCAGCCCGGCCGCCCAGCCGCCTCGGGTACCGAATCTGAACCGTTATCCTGCAGAAACTTGATAATGTCCTTCTTGGGCAGCTGCTCACTGCGTAGCTGCTCCACGGTCCACGCCCGCTGTGGCACGGCAGCCGCCATCTTCCCCCACTGGCGCTGCTTCACTAAGCCCGCCCGCCTAACACTTCGGAGTCGCCCGGCCTTCGGGGCGTGGCTTGGGCCCTCCGCAAAGGGCGCGAGGGGCGGGGTCTCCGTGCTTCCGGATAGGATTGGGCCCTGTGCTTGAGTGACGTCAGGACTGGGCTATAAGGACTTCTTTCCCTGAGTCTTGTGGTAGGGGGGTTGGCGGGGGAAATGGGAGACCGGAGAGCGCTGCTCTTAGTTGGGCCTTGCTGGAGGCGACCTCTGACGTCACTGCGGCCTGCTCTCCCTCATCGAGCCCGACCCCAACCCTACGTTGAAAGAAATAACTTGGCTGGAGTGTCCTGGGAAATAGCCCGTTTGCCACTGTGAAAATAGAACCGTGAAGCCTGCTGAGATTATTTTGAGAAACGGGAAAGGCTGGTCGGGAGAATGGATTTACGGATGAAATGAGGAGGGTACATTATATCCCGGTGGGAAGGTAACAATGAACCCTCCCCCTGATGAGAGCAAATAAAAAGCGACATTCGATCCGATTTATAATCTCACTTAGTTCATATCTGGGTTATTTCAGTCACAGCCCATATTGTCATCATGTTCCTTTTTGTTTGTCGGTCGTGGGGCTTGAACTCTGGGCCTGGGCGCTATCCCTCAGCTCTTCAGCTCAAGGCTAGTGCTCTACTTGAGCCACAGCACCACTTCCGGGTTTCTGGTGGTTTATTGGTGATCTGAGTCTCACGGTCTCTCCTGCCCAGGCTGGCTTTGAACCCTGATCCTCAGATCTCGGCCTCCTGAGTAACTAGGATTACAGGTGTGAGCCACGGGCACCCAGCTTATCATGTTCCTTTTAAAGGTCACACAAATCAACCCTTTCAATGAGAAATGTCTCTAAAGGCAAGTTCAGAAACTTAAAAGGTATAAAGTAGCTGTACTTAGGCATCAATTTATTTTATATTATGAGGGTAACATTACAATGCTATGCACTCTTCTCCAATGAATTAATAAATCATTGGTATAATAATGATTATTGGAGATAATAATGTTTATTGGAGATGAGTCGCATGGACTTTCCTGCCAGGGATGACTTTGAACCAGAGTCAGAGCTCAGCCTCCTAGGTAGCTAGGATTACAGGCCTGATCCACTGAAGCCCAGCCCTTATTTTATTTTATTTTTTTTATTTTATTTTTTTTTATCTTTTTTTTTATTGTAAAGATACTATACAGAGGGTTACAGTTACATGAGTGAGGTAATGAGTACACTTCCTCTTGAACATTGTTACCCCCTCCATTGTTTTCCCCCTACCATACCCTCCCTCCCTCCCTTCCCCGAGGTTCTTTTTTTTTTTTTTTTTTTGATTGTGATTGAGTGATTACATAATTTCAAAGTCACAAGTTCATTCTAACTTCCCTGGAGCAAATTGCCTTATTTTATTTTTATAAAATATTTTTATTGTTATCATAAAAATCTAGGAATTATTATTATATAAAATCATTATTATAAAAGCCAGGAACTGTAGCCAAGTCTGAGGTAGAAAGCTACAACTAACATACTTTTTTACATATAATAATTTCACACCAACACTTACTATCTAAATATACCAGGAAGCTACCTGTGAGGCAGGAGGACCCAGTGTCAAGCCAGTATGAGACCCTGTTTCAAGCAAGTAATGAAAACAAACCAAGAAGAAGAAGAAAAAAAAAGATGTACTAATGGAATTTTGAGGCTCTTTTTGTTTGCTTGTTTAATTTCCTAATGAACAAAAGTACCAGACTTCATTCACTTCCATTTAAATGATAAATGCATTTTTTGCTTGATATTTTATTGTTATAAAGATGATATACAGAGGGATTATCATGTCATAAGTCAGATGAGTACATTTTATTTCAACGTCTATGGGAAGTTTCATCCTATGTACTTATATATTTGGACTCAATAAACTACAATATTATATAAACCTGTGTGTGGTCAAAGTTATGTTAAGCCTGAATGCATTATTTGATGAAAACTATAGTATGCATTTTTTTTTCTTGTCATAGGGCTTGAACTCTGATCCTGGGCACTATCCCTATGCTCTTCAGCTCAAGGCCAGTGCTGTACCACTTGAGCCACAGCACCATTTCTGGTTTTCTGGTGGTTTATTGGAGATAAGAGTCTCAGGGACTTTCCTGACAGGGCTGGCTTTGAACTGTGATCTTCAGAGCTCAGCCTCCTAAGTAGCTAGGATTACAGGCCTGAGCCACCGACGCCCAGCTCTTATTTTATTTTATAAAATATTTTTATTGGGGGGGCAGGGTGTGTGGAGGGGGAGATGGGAAGGGATGGGAAGGGGAAACAAAGGAAGAGGCAACAATTCTTGATAAGAAATGTACCCATTACCTTGCTCATGTAATTGTAACCCCTTGGTACGGTATTTTCACAATAAAAAAATAAAACAAATAAATAATTTTAGTAATAGAGAAAAAATATTTTTATTGTTATTATAAGATGATGTACAGAGGGGTTTACAGTTTTATAAGTCATCCTTTCTTCACTCTGTCCCAATTTTTCCCTCCGTCACAGTTATACATTTTATTTTCAACAGTGTCTACTGAGTACCACTGCTGCACTGCACTTGTCCACTCTTGGTCCCTCCATTCTGTGCTCTCTCTTGCCACTCCTCCCAACCAGATAATGAGAACAGATGAATGAACAAACAAGACAAAAAGAAAAGAAAAACTTTTGTTTCCATTTTCTGAAGTTCACTTAGGTAAATATTTTATATGATGAGGCACATACTCATTGTGCCTTTGTATTCTTCCCCTAAAAGTATCTTTCTTTGGTCTCTCTGTGTGTCAATTTCTACAGTCCTGTATAATGTTCTAGTATGTTTTTTAATAATTTTTTATTTTAAAGAAAATATTTGCTATTTGTCTCTCTAAACTTGACTTACTACTTCACTTAACGTGATTTAAATTCTAGGTCCATCCATTTCCCTGCAAATGACATAATATTATTCTTTCTAATGACTGCAAAAATAGGTATCACATTTTTTTGTAAGGCTGTTTCCATAACTTTGCTAATGTGAACAATGAACATGGATGTGCAAGTGTCTTTATGGTATCCTGGCTTATGATGTTCTGGGTGGTTGCTCAGGAATGATATGGCTGGGAGTTAGGAAGATATGTTTAGTTTTTAAGAGGAACCTCCAGACTGCTGTCCAGAGTTTACATTCCCATTGACAGTCCAATTGAGCTCCTTTCCCCCTCCCCCCCATCCTCAACAACATTTGTTGTTCCTATTCACAATGTTGGCCAATCTAACAGGGATGAGATGGAATTTTCATTTTCATTTCCTTTATGGCCAGGAATTAGGCAATAAAGACATTAAATAACAGCTGAACATGGTGGCTCATCCCTTTCATCCTAGCTACTCAGGAGGCTGAGATCTGAGGATCATAGTTCCATGCCAGCCTGGGGAGGAAAATCTGTAACACTCTTATCCCCAATGAACCAGCAAAAAGCCGGAATTGGAGCAGTGGTTGATGAGGTATAGTGCTATCCTTGAGCAAAAAAGCCCAGGGACAGCACCAGGCTCTGAGTTCAAGCCCTAATGTCATCACACACACACACACACACACACACACACACACACACACACACACACACACACACACACATTAAATAGGTTACCACTCCAGCAAAATGGACTTAATAATTTTTCCCTTTTAAGAGAAAAATATATGAATTAATCCCACACATACTTTTCACCTCATCAATAAGGTTAAGTTCTCAAAAACCTGTCCCCAGAATCTCCAGGCTATTTATTGATTGCAAGCGATGAACACCAATTGCTTGCAAGCGGAACTCAAATCTAGATTCCGACTTTTTTTAGGCCTAAAGGAACCGAGAATGGGGACGGGATTGAGCGTCACGCCTCTGGCTGCGCGCATGCGTCTGCAGGAGCTCCCGCAAAGACTTCCGGGAAGCCGACCAATAACCAATCCCAAGGCGAAGCCGGGTGGAGGGATTTTCAGATGGGAACCCGAACCGGGTGCGAGCTCCCGCCTGATGGTTCCACAGCTGGGTGCCAATGAAGCCTGCGGGAGTCGGAGCTGTGGCGGTTACGCGGCCCAGGCTGCGGGGGGCTGAACGAAGAGGCTTTCGGTCGTCTTTGGCCTCATGAACGGACGGCAAAGAACGCTCTTCCAGACGTGGGGCCCCAGCCTTGCCCGACCCGCCCGGGCCCCGGGTTGCAGCCTCCGGAGGGAGCTACCCCCGGACCCCGGCGGCTCCCCGGCGCGTGCGTCCGCGGCGGCCCCTCCGCAGGCCCAGCCCGCGGCGGAGGAGGCCCAGCCCGACTCGGATGACGACGTGTTGCTGGTGGCGGTGTTGGAGGCCGAGCAGCAGCTGAGGGTAGAGAATGGCGGCTTCTGCACCTCCTCGGGCTCCCTGTGGATTTATCCTACCAATTGTCCGGTGCGGGACTACCAGCTGCACATCTCCCGCACCGCCCTGTTCTGTAACACCCTGGTCTGCCTGCCTACCGGGCTGGGGAAGACCTTCATTGCGGCCGTGGTCATGTACAATTTCTACCGCTGGTTCCCTTCTGGCAAGGTGGTTTTCATGGCGCCCACCAAACCCCTGGTGACGCAACAGATCGAGGCTTGCTTTCAAGTGATGGGTATTCCGCAGTCCCACATGGCCGAATTGACAGGTATGTTAGTGAGAAGGAGCGGATTCCCGAGGGGACGCGGACGTCTTCTGATGGCAATAGAGCCCCAGGAACTCCTGGACCATGTACTATTGCGCATGCAAACATACTCGTTCTCACATCCCATAGAACACCATCTGTTTTGTAGCAAATCTAATACTAATTACATTATTGCCCGTTCAGAGATTACCTATTTGTAGCTTGACAGTGTTTTGAAGCCATAATCGCCGGGCGCCGGTGGCTCATGACTGTAATCCTAGGTACTTGGGAAGCTGAGATCTGAGGATCGCGGTTCAAAGCCAGCCAGGGCAGGAAAGTCCGTGAGACACTTAATTTCCAATAAACCACCAGAACCAGAAGTGGCACTGTGGCTCCAGTGGTAGAGCGCTAGCCTTGAGCGGAAGAGCTGATGGACAGCACCCAGGCCCAGAGTTCAAGCCCCATGACCGACCCTCTCCCCCCCAAAAAAGTGTGTAATCTATAGATAACTGGATGTATTACCTGGTATTTCTTCCCAAGAAAAAGTATTCAGTTACAGATTTTTGCTTCTCTTCATTTCTTAGGCACTTCTGCAGGAATTATCTAAATATAGTTTACTTGTGGTCTTTGGTTAGAGCCAGTTTTGACATTTGGGCAACATCAGCTTTAATGTGTAGCGTTATGGGCCTGGCATCAGAGACTCATGCCTGTGATTCCAGTTACTCTGAGGCTGCAATGGGGACGTTAAAGGCTCCAGGCTGCCCAGGCCCCCCACCCCTCCCCCCCAAAAAAAAGGTGGCAACTTTTTCTAAAAAGGCCTGGCCTGAGGTTTCCCACACGTCATCCCAGCTACAGTGGGAACATCAATAAGAAGATAATAGTCCAGGCTTTCCCAGAGCAAAATGAGACCCTGTCTTCAAAATAAGTAGGCCCTCTGCCTTAGCAAGTGCATAAAGCCTTCAGTTCAAACCTTAGGCTCGGTAATCAATCAATCAATCAATAATAAAAAGAATGGATCAGTCCAGTGCCTTGTCAAGTTCTCCACTTATGCAATGTACCCAAATCAGGCATAAACTTGTCCAGATTATATAACTTTGTAGATAACCTGAAGTTTATTTGGCTATTTGCAGATTCACATTCACACCTCACAGGGCATTCTACCACTTGAGCCGCACCTCCTGCCTCAGTGTGAAGTTCAGATGTAGACTTTCACTTTAATTTGCAGGTTCGACTCAAGCTCTCACCAGGAAGGAAATATGGTACAGTAAGAGAGTTCTGTTTCTTACACCTCAGGTCATGGTAAATGACCTTACTAGAGGAGCTTGTCCTGCTGCTGATATCAAGTGTCTAGTTGTTGATGAAGCTCATAAAGCTCTTGGGAACTATGCTTATTGCCAGGTAAGAGTTTTGTTTGGTGGTATTCTGGAGTGTTCCATATTGTTAAGGTGTCTTTTGGGGGGATCATTATTAATGATGGAAGTTTTGATGGTAGTTTATTATCTCAAAATAGGTGGTCATAGGAAATACTTTGTCTTGCTCACTTGAATCAGTTTCTCTGCTATCCTTCCCTCCCTGCCTCCCTCCCTCCCTGCCTCCTTCCCTTCTTCCCTCCCTCCCTTCCTCCCTTCCTTTCTTTCTTCCTTCCTTCCTTCCTTCAGTCCCTCCTTTGTTCTATTCCCTTAAAAAAAAACTTAACAGGTGTGAGATGTGGATCATGACTGGAACAGTGATGTTAAGTAGGATATAGATAGGGTTTGGAAACTAAGATTTGGAACTTAGTTTGGAAACTAAGGATTATAAGTGGATATATAGGATTATTCCATGGCAGCTAGGTCAAGTAATTCTTAAATGTCATTGTCGTAATGATGAAATGGTATATGTACCTGCCTAATACTGCCTTTCTTTTCTATGTAGATACAAAGTACAAGGTTGGGAGCAATGGGATATACTTGTAGAGATCATTTACCTCTCTCTACTAAATAGAAATCATCTCTATTTACATTAAGGGCACTGGCCCTTTCTGTCCTACTTAAGGACCAAGACATGAAGCATATATTTTATCTTCAGTAGTTTGAATGTACTTTGTAGGCCATATGCCCTATGCATTAGAAATGTTTACCTGGAGCCAGGCACCTGTGGCTCACACCTGTAATCCTAGCTACCCAGCAGGCTCAGATCTGAGGATCACAGTTTGAAGCCAGCCTGGGAAGGAAAGTCCTTGAGGCTACCTCCAAACTGGAAGTGGTGCTGTGGATTAAAGTGGTAGAGCTCTAGCCTTGAGTGAAAAAGCTCAAGTACCATACCCAGGCCCTACAACCAAAAACAACAAAATGAGTAGCTGGGGCTGGGGTTATGGCTCAAATGGTAAGCATCTGCCTTGCATGCAAGGCCCTGAAAGCCTTGAGTTGAATCCCCAGTACTGCTAAGAGAGGAAGGAGGGATGGAGGGAGGGAGAAGGAAAAGATGCAGAGAGAGAAAAAGAATGTGATTAGGATGATATTTAAGATTTAAGAGATTAGAGTGGGAAGGGAGCATGATACCTAATTAGGGATGGGAAGAATGTAGCTTTCTGTTTTGGAAAACTGTTGAGTTCTGGAGGCGGAGCAGGTTTTGGGGAGAAGGAAAGGATTTGACTTCAGTTTTAAATAAATTTCACTACCAGTTTATGAATGTGTAATATGGTTTCCTTGGAGACTTAAGTATGATTGTCTTGGATCTCTGCATTAGGGAAAATTGGCATCTTTCTTATAGTTGATCTTTTTAACTGTATCCAAGTACTGAATCTGTTTTTCTATTTGTTCATGTTTACAAATTTAACACATATTATGCTCAGAGTTCCATGAGAAAGATACATTAAAATTTTCATTCTATTTGGAATTCATTTTGTAGATTTAGCTTATATTTAATTCCTTTTCAAAAAATTTCTAGTCATTAGATGACTTTTTTAAATTTTTATTTTTTGGTCAGTCATGGGGCTTGAACTCTGGATCTGGGCACTGTTCTTAAGTTCTTCAGCTCAAAGCAAGTGCTCTACCACTTGAGCCACAGTGCCACTTCCAGTTTTCTGGTGGTTAATTGGAGATAAGAGTCTCATGGACATTCCTGCCTGGGCTGGCTTTGCACCGTGATCCTTAGATCTCAGCCTCCTGAAGCTAGGATTACAGGTGTGCACCACTGGCGCCCTGCTAGATGACCTTTTTTAAACTGCAAGTCTTATGCGCTCTACCATTTGAGCCACAACACCACTTCTATGTTTTTCTGAGTAGTTAATTGGAGATAAGAGTGTTATGGGGACTTTTCTGCCTGGGCTGCCTTTGAACCTTGATCATCAGATCTCTGCCAGCCTCCTGAGTAGCTAGGATTGCAGGCATAGACTCTATGCCTCATTGATTTTTTTTTTTTTTTGGGTCCGGTCGTGGGGCCTGAACTCTGGGTCTGGGCGCTGTCCCTCAGCTCTTCAGCTCAAGGCTAGTGCTCTACCACTTGAGCCACAGCACCACTTCCGGCTTTTTTCTTTTTGCTTATGTGGTGCTGAGGAATCGAACCCAGGGCCTCAGGCATGCAAGGCAAGTGCTCTACCACTGAGCCACCTTCCCAGCCCAATAGCTCATTGATATTTAAAGACCCAGCTGTCCAGAGATTTTGTTTCATTTTGTTTTTTGTTGGTCGTAGGGTCTCGGCACCACTTCCAGACTCTGTATCTTCAGTATTCAAGTGGATATAAATTCTCAGGACAGGGCTGGGAAGATAGCTCAGATGTAGAGTATTTGCCTTGCATGCATTAGACCCTGGTTTCAATTCCTCAGCACTACATAAGCAGAAAAAGCCAGAAGTGGCACTTTGACTCAAGTGGTAGAGAGCTAGCCTTGAGCTGAAGAGCTGAGAGACAGTGCCCAGGCCCAGAGTTCAAGCCCCACTACCGACAAACAAAAAACAGATACAGGTTCTGAAGATACAGATTCTAACCGATACACTGTACCAGCATGTAGCTTCCTGTGTTATAAAAACACATCATTTCCTCTTCTGCAAGAAACTTAAGCATCCCTTTTGAAATGAAGTAATGTATTTAGCTTACCTTTTTTTTTTTTTGGTCCTGGGGCTTGAACTCTGGGCCTTGGCACCGTCCCGAAGCTCTTCAGCTCAAGTAACGTGCTCTATCACTTGAGCCACAGTCCCACTTCCAGTTTCTTGCTAGTTAATTGGAGATAAGTGTCCCTCACGACTTTCCTGCCTGAGCTGGCTTTGAACTGCAATTCTCAAATCTCAGCCTCCTGAGTAACTAGGATTACACATGTGAGCCACCGGTGTCTAGCTGGCTTACTTTTGTTTTTGTCAGACATGGGGCTTGAACTCTGGGCCTGGGCGCTGTCCCTCAGCTCTTCAGCTCAAGGCGAGCGCCCTACCACTTGAGCTACAGCGCCACTTCTGGTTTTCTAGTGGTTTATTGGAGATAGGCGTCTCATGGTCTTTCTTGCCCAGGCTGGCTTTGAACCGTGATCCTCAGATCTCAGCCTTCTGAGTAGCTAGGATTAGAGGTGAGAGCTACCAGTGCCCAGCTTGGCTTACTTTTTATGTGTAATAGTTTTGGTATGTATAATGATACATGCACAGGAAATAATTTTATTGTTATAAACCTTGACATATCATTTAGAAGAGTCAGAACTGCCTCATAATCTGAAACATCACTGAATTCTGGCTACTGTAAGAAAATGATTTATGGCTGGGAATGTGGCTTAGTGATAAGAGTACTTGCCTAGTATGCATGAAGCCCTGGGTTCAGTACCGCATAAATACCACATAAATAGAAAAAGCGAAAGTGGTGCTATGGCCCAAGTGGTAGAGTGCTTAGCTTTGAGCAAAAAGAAGCTGAGGGACAATGTCCAGTTCCTAAGTTCAAGGCCAAATGATTTATGAAAGCACCAATCCAATAAAAGATCTGTTCATGTCTTCTTGCTGCGTCCTTTTAAAGTCCTTTTTTGACATCGAAGGAAATCAGTTGTAGTACTAAGACCACGTAGAATTGGTAATGAGAAATATTTTGTCTTGTTTTTAGTTTTTTGTGGTGCTAGAAATTGAACCTCAGGGCCTTGCCCACCCTTGGCAAACACTCTTACCAGTGAGCTACATTTCTCATACTTAATGTTCTCAATTGGAATAATTCTACTTCAGTCTCTGTTATGTATAAGTCTTCATGCACAATTTGTATCATGTTAAAAAATACAATCAACAATATTTTTTGAATGTTATGATTCAGCATGAGTCTCATTGAGCCCAGATCATTTGCTCTTCATATAATATGCTCAGTGATAGTTCTGCTTACTAGATTGTCAAGGTGCCAGTTAAGGAATACTAACAGACTAGATAGAACAGCTTGTTTAATAGAACCACTGCTATAATTGCATTAGACAAGTGAAATATTTTTTTTTTTTAATTTTTCTTTTCTTTAAGGTTGTAAGGGAACTGCTTAAATATACAAGTCACTTCAGAATTTTGGCACTTAGTGCCACACCAGGTAGTGATATAAAGGTAAGTAAAACAGCTTTCCATTTATTAACATTTTAGGGCTGGGAATGTGGCTTAGTGGTGGAGTGCTTGCCTAGTATGCATGAAGCTCTGGGTTCAATTCCTCAGTACCACATAAACAGAAAAATCTGGAAGTAGTGCTGTGGTTCAAGTGTTAGGGTGCTAGTCTTGAGCAAAAGAAGCTCAAAGACAGTGCCCAGGCCCTGAGTTCAAGTTCCAGTATTGGCATCCCTCCCCTTCCCCTTCCCCTCATAAACCTACCACCACCACCAAAAAATATATCAGAAAATAAGATTTGTTGTTGTTGTTGTTGTTGTTGGTCATGGAGCTTGAACTCTGGGCCTGAGCGCTGTCCCTCAGCTCTTCAGCTCAAGGTGAACGCTCTGCCACTTGAGCCACAGCACCACTTCCAGTTTTTAGTGGTTTATTGGAGATAAGAGTCTCATGGAGTTTCCTGTCCAGGCAGGCTTTGAACCATGATCCTCAGATCTCAGCCTCCTGAGAGCTAGGATTACAGGAGTGAGCCACCGGTACCTGGCTTCAAAAAATAAAAATTTTTGTATGGGGCAGATCAATTTTTCATTCTAGTATTTACCTAGGTTGACTAGGACTACAACCTTTCCACAACCTGCCTTAATTTTTCTTTTGTGGCTGCTGGAGTGTTTTGCTTTTTTGTTTTGTTTTTTAACCATTTTCTTTTTTGTCTTTTTTTTGGTACTGAAAATCAAAGCCAGGACATTGTACTTGCTAGGCATGTGCCTTGCCTCTGAGCTACATCCCAGCCCTGCAGAAGGTTTTTGTTTTTTGTTTTTCTGTTCGTTTTTATTTGATTCGCTGTTTGTTTGTTGATATGTGGTTTGGCCACCTTGCCCTGGCTGGCCTTGTTTACTTACATCTTGAACTTCTGGGCTCCAGTAGATCCTTCTACTGCAATATCCTACTTAGCTGCTGGACCTCTCCGGATCAATAGTTTTTCTGGCTTAAGTGTTATTATTATTTTTTTTGTTTCTAATTTTTTTATTGTTACTAAAACGGTGATGTACATAGGAGTCACAGTTACATAAATCAGGTAAAGCATACATTTCTTTTTGGGCAGTGTTACCTCTCTCTCTCCCAATTAATAATATGACTACTTTTTATTTTTATTTCATTTTATATTTTGCCAGTTCTGTGACTTGAACTCTGGGTCTAGTCTCTGTCCCTGAGCTGCTTTTTCTCAAGGCTAGTGCTCAACCACTTGAGTCACAGTGCCACTTCCAACTTTTTCTGAGTAGTTTATTGGTGATAAGAATCTCATGGTGTTATAGAGTTTCCTGCCAGGGCTGGCTTCATACTGTGATCCTCAGATCTCAGCTTCCTGGGTAGCTAGGATTACAAGTGTGCATCACCAGAACCAGGCTATGACTACTTTTTTTTTTAATAGAAAATTTTTTTATTGTGATTAAGTGATTATATAAATTTTACAAACTTCACAGTATTGTGAGATAGTGACAGTTAAAGTCACAAATACATTCTAACCTTCATGGAGCCAATTGTCTTTATTGTGGTCTATAAAGTTTTTTTGTTTTCTTTTTTTGGTCTGGTCGTGGGGCCTGAACTCTGGGCCTGCGTGCTGTCCCTCATCTCTTTAGCTCAAGGCTAGCACTCTACCACTTGACCACAGCGCCACTTCTGGCTTTCTTCTTTTTGCTTATGTAGTGCTAAGGAATCGAACCCAGGGCCTCAGGCGTGCAAGGCTCTACCACTGAGCCACCTTCCCAGTCCTATTGTGGTCTATAAAGTTTATGAATGTGAACACATGTGTCTTTTTTGTTGTTGTTGTTGTTGTTGGTCATGGGGCCTGAACTCTGGGCCTGGGTGCTGTCCCTCAGCTCTTCAGCTCAAGGCTAGTGCTCTACCACTTGAGCCATAGCACCACTTCCGGCTTTTTCTGCTTATATGGTGCTGAGGAATCAAACCCAGGGCCTCGTGAATGCAAGGCAAGCACTCTACCACTGAGCCACCTTCCCAGGCCATTTCTTTTCTTTTCCTTAGTGTAAGCTGTTCCCTCTTTCCCACTCATTCCCTCCTTCCCATCACTGCCATTGTGTTGCTTAGTTCATTTTGATCAATGACTCGTGCAGCTGATGGGTCCCACTGTTGTATGTTTTCCCATTTCCCTCTGTTTCTATGTCCTCCCTCTAGTTTCCCTCAAATGTGCATATAGCATATATGTGTTCAGCAGCATGGGGTCATTTAGTAATATAATATGACTAGATGAGTGGAAGTCCTTTGTTTCTCTAGTCTTGTTTTTACTTTGTTGTATCTCCTTATGTTTTGGACTTAGCATCCACTTATCAGGGAGACCATGAACCATCTATGTCTCTTTGCTCTTGGTTTACCTCACTCAACATGATTTTTTCTAGTTCCATCCATTTCCCGGCGAATGCCATTATTTTGTCCTTTTTTTTGGTCAGTCGTGGGGCTTGAACTCTGGGCTTGGGTGCTGTCCCTACACTCTTCAGCTCAAGGCCAACGCTCTACCGCTTGAGCCACAGTGCCACTTCCGGTTTTCTAGTGGTTTATTGGAGATAAGAGTCTGATGGACTTTCCTTCCCAGGCTGGCTTTGAACCTCAATCCTCAGATCTCAGTCTCCTGAGTAGCTAGGATTACAGGCGTGAGCCACCGGCGCCCGGCTCTTATTTTGTCTTTTCTAATGGCTGCATGTGGGGCTTCTGGGTTGTTTCCATATCCTGGCTATTGTAAACAGTGCTGCAATGAACATGGAGGTGCCTGTGTCCTTGTATCCTGGTTCCTGTTGTTCAGGATAGATGCCTAGAAGTGGTATGGCTAGGTCATGGAGGAGGTCAATATTTAGCTTTCTGAGGACCCTCCAGACTGCTTTCCAAAGTGGTTGATACTGTGTACATTCAAACCAGCAATGCAATAAGGTTCCTCTTTCTCTGCATCCTCTCCAGCATTTGTTGTTGGCTGAATTTAGGATGCGGGACATTCTGACTGCAGTAAGGTGGTATCTCAGGGTTCCTTTTATTTGCATTTCCTTTACAACCAGGGATGGGAACATTTCCTCATGTGTTTCATGGGCATTTTTTTCTCTTCTTCTGAGAAATCTCTCTTTAGTTACCTTGCCCATTTAGTAATTGGTTTGTTAGGTTTGGGAGTGATTAGTTTCTTGAGTTCCCTGTATATACTGGATATTTAGCCCCTTGTCTGATATATTGCAGGTAAATATTTTTTCCCAGTTAGTTGGCTGTCTTTCTAGCTTGGTTGCTATGTTGTTAGCTATGCAGAACTTTTTATTTTAAGGTAGTCCCATTTGTCGAGTCTCTAATTTGTTGTGACCCTGGAACTCTGTTTAGGAAGTTCCTGCCTGTGCCTATAAGTTCAAGTGTCTCTCTCCTCTTCTGTCCTGCAGTAGTTTCAGTTTCAGGTTTGATTTTTTTTTTTTTTTTTTTTTGGTTGGTCCTGGGGCTTGAACTTGGCCTGGGCGCTGTCCCTCAGCTCTTCAGCTCAAGGCTAGCGCCCTACCACTGAGCTACAGCGCCTCTTCCATTTTTCTGGTGGTTTATTGGAGATAAGAGTCTCACGGAGTTTCCTGCCTGGGCTGGCCTTGAACCATGATCACCAGATCTCAGCCTCCTGAGTAACTAGGATTATAGGCGTGAACCACTGGCACCCAGCCTACTTACATTCTTTCTTAAGTGTAACTTAGAAACAATTTTAGACTTCCAGAAAATTTGTAGAAATTGAAATTTTTGTATGTCTTTCACTTAATTTCTACTAACTCTAACATTAATATAACCATAGTAGAGTGCTACTAAGTAATATACAATTCTTATTTGAATTCAGCTTGCCCATCAATACCTCTTATTCCTGATGGTACAATCTAAAATCTCTTTAGAGAAATGTTATGGGTAGAAAAAAATGTGATGTATATGTGTGTGTGATTTTTTTTGTTAAGTTTTTGAAACAGATTCTTGCAATCTTGCCTTCACTGACCTGAGATTCCTACTATGTTATTTCTGTATGTACTTAAACAAAAAAAGATTTAACATGTTAAATAATTTATTCTCATACATTCTGGATTTTGCCTAGGCTGTGCAGCAGGTTATTACTAATCTACTCATTGGGCAGATAGAGCTTCGTTCCGAAGATTCTCCAGATATTTTGCCATATTCTCATGAAAGACGAGTTGAAAAGCTTGTTGTTCCCCTTGGGGAAGAACTGGCAGCCATTCAAAAAACATACATCCAGGTAAGCCATTTTCCTCATACTTCCACGTTTACACAAATTCACTGGCATTGTAACTGTTCAGTTAGCAGAATTTACAGATGAGAATCCACATACTGAAGAGTTCTTTGAAATTAAGAGTTTGGGGATGACTGTTTTGTCATGGATTAAAAGATGATGACAGTTTTCTTTGCCACTTCTTCCACTGAGATATGAATACTTTTCCTCTTCTCAAATCTGGGCTGGCCCTGTGAATGACCTACAGAGTTTCATAAAACCTAAGTTAGTCATATATTTAAAAAAGGTAACCATATGGGGGAAAAAGGGCAATCAGAAAACCGGAAGTAGTGCTGTGGCTCAAGCAGTAGAGCGCTCGCCTTGAACTGAAGAGAGCAGGGACAGCACCCAAGCCCAGAGTTCAAGCCCCACGACTGACAAAAAAAAAATAAAAAAAGTTAAAAATAAAATAAAAAAAGTTAAAAATAAGATAATTGAAGCTGGTGCTGGTGGCTCTTGCCTGTAATCCTAGCTACTCAGGAGGCTGAAATCTGAGGATCACGGTTCAAAGCCAGCCTGAGCAGGAAAGTCCGGGAGACTCCAATAAACCACTCAGAAAACTGGAAGTTGCACTCTGGCTCAAGTGATAGAGCGCTAGCCTTGAGCTGAAGAGCTCAGGGACAGTGCTCAGGCCTAAAGTTCAAGACTCACGACCAAAAAAAAAAAAAAAAGATAAAAAAGATAAAGCTGGGGCACCAGTAGCTCACACCTGTAATCCTAGCTACTCAGGAGGCTGAGAGCTGAAGATCACTGTTCAAAGTCAGCCTGGTCAGGAAAGGCTGTGAGACTTTTATCTCCAGTAAACCACCAGAAAACTGGAAGTGGCGCTGTAGCTCCAGTGGTACAGTGTTCACCTTGAGCTGAGGGACAGCACCCAGGCCCAGAGTTCAAGTCCCATGACTGACCCCCCCCCCCCCCAAAAAAAAAAATATATATATATATATATATAAATTCAAAGGAACAAATAGGTATATGAGCCTAGGTAACCGTTTACAAAGCTGCTAGCAATCTGATATTAGACATTAAGGAGCAGACACTAGCTTTCCTAGAAGGCTTTCATTGATTTCTCTTTTTTTTTCTTTTGGTGATATTGGAGTTTAAGTTCAGGGCCTTTTATTTACTACGCAAGCTCTCTACTACTTGAGCAACACCTTTAATGTAACTTTTTTTACTTTTGATATTTCATTATCATTTCAGCCTTTCAAGAAATTTATAAAACTAAGCTGGTACTGGTGGCTCACACCTATGATCCTAGCTACTTAGGAGCCTTATATCTGAGGATTGTGTTTCAGAGCCAACCCAGGAAGAACCAGCAAAAAGCCAGAAGTGGAGGTGTGGCTTAAGTGGTAGAGCTCCAGCCTTGAGTGAAAAAGTGAGAACATGAGGCCTTTATTTCAGGTTCCAGTGGGAATCTTTCTTCCAGAAGGAAGGAAAGAAGGGGAGGTTTGGGAAAGGAGGTTGTAAAACTAGTGTAGATTTCTTACCAATGGGCAGCTACTTTGAAACTTTGTAGGGATATTGTTTCTAATAACATTTTCCTGCTAATTTTAGCTTTTCATGATGTTGTTAGTATATAGCTATTATTTCTGAGGTGTTTGTCTAATTGTTTCTTTTTAAAATTTTTTCCTTTTTTTTTTTTTTTTGCTGGTCCTGGGACTTGAACTGAGAGCCTGGTCACTGCTCCTGAGCCACTCTGTACTCAAGGCTAGCGCTCTGCCACTTGAGTCACAGTGCCACTTCCAGCTTTTTCTGTTTATGTAGAACTGAATAATCGAACCCAGGACTTCATGCATGCTAGGCAAGCACTCATGACTAAGCCACATTCCCAGCCTAAATTTTTAAAAATATTTGTTAATTTGAATTATTCTCTAGTGAAAAGCTGTTTCTTTTTTTTAACCTACCACATACTTATTAATTCCACTGGACTTACTGATATATTTTTGTATGAGCTACAATTTTGGCAGCCAGAGGATCCAGTGAGTCCTTTAAACATCACTTTTTAGGCACCTTTTTTTATCCCTCTACCTAAGTGATATCACAAGATACTTTATCTAATACTTTTCTCTGTGCCTGCTAAGAAATCAGTTGTTTCCCCAAGGAGTCTTTGTTTCTTATGGAAGAATGGTATTTAAAATCCAATATTTAAAATGGTATTTAAAATCTGAACTGGTACCAGTGACTTATACTATTGTCTTAGCTAATCAAGAGGCTGAGTAGCTGCTGCAAGTTGGTGGTTCAAAGCTAGTGAGACCCCCATCTTCAATGAACCAACAAAAAGCTAGACTAGAGGTGTATCTCATAATAGACCACTCTCCATGAACAAGAAAGCCAAGGGAGAGCATAAAACTCTGAGTTAAATCCCTGTATTGGCATAAGAAACCAAAAACAAACAATAACAAAGTCTGACTAGATATGATTGCATCCACTTGTAAATCCAGCAGGAGAACGACAAATTTGAAGCTAGCCAAGTTTATATGAAGAGTAGGACTAGTGTGGTGGACACAGTCTTAAAAACACAAACCAGTGCCTGTATTAGTGTTACTGTGGTGTGCTTGCTTCTAGGTTCCTCAGTGACCAGCTTGAATTTTATCCACAGATTCAGTATTATGAGTAAATAAGATGGCAGCGTTTTTTTTTTTTTTTATGCCAGTCCTCGGGCTTCCTCTGACCTTAAGCTTCTTTTTTTTTGGGTCCAGTCATGGGGCCTGAACTCTGGGCCTGGGCGCTGTCCCTCAGCTCTTCAGCTCAAGGCTAGCGCTCTACCACTTGAGCCACAGCGCCACTTCTGGCTTTTTTCTTTTTGCTTATGTGGTGCTGAGGAATCGAACCCAGGGCCTTTGGCATGCAAGGCATGTGCTCTACCACTGAGCCACCTTCCCAGCCCCTGTCCTTGAGCTTCTTTTGCTCAAGACTAGCACTCTACCACTTGAGCCACAACTCCACTCCCAGCCTTTTCTGTTGATGTGGTACTGAGGAATGGAATCCAGGGCTTCATGCATTCTAGGCAAGTACTTTACCACTAAGCTACATTCCTAGCCTAGCAGTTGTTTTAATCTCTTCTTTTTTTAAATATTGTAATATAACAATAGATAGACAAAAACATCTTCTTAGCCCTTACCCTTATTAAGTCTTTGTTAAAGAGATTTTTCACAGAAATGTGGTTTTTTTTTTTTTGGTTAAATTATCCATTATAAAAATTTTAGCATTATTTTTTCCTAAGCATTATTAATTTAAGATATAGCATATTCTAGGGTTGGGAATGTGGCTTAATGATAGAGTGCTTGCCTGGCATGCATGAAGCCCTGGGTTCAATTCCTCAGTATCACATAAACAAAAAGCCAGGAGTGGCACTGTGGCTCAAGTGGTAGAGTGCTAGCTTTGAGCAAAAGAAGTGCCCAGGCCTTGAGTTCAAGCCCCCCCCCAAAAAAAGATATAGTATATTCTAGTTATTGTCTCCTCTTTTCTTTTTTCCTTCCTTCAACCTTTAATCTTCCCTTCTTCCCTCCACCCCATTCTTTTTTTTTTTTTTTGGTCGGTCGTGGGGCTTGAACTCTGGGCCTGGGCGCTGTCCCTCAGCTCTTCAGCTCAAGGCGAGCGCTCTACCACTTGAGCTACAGCGCCACTTCCGGTTTTCTGGTGGTTTATTGGAGATAGGAGTCTCACGGTCTCTCCTGCCCGGGCTGGCTTTGAACCGCGATCCTCAGATCTCAGCCTCCTGAGTAGCTAGGATTACAGGCGTGAGCCACCAGCGCCCGGCCACCCCATTCTTTCTTTGGTGGTAGGGACTGAACTTGGGGTCTTTCATGCTAGACAAGCATCCTAACCACTGAACTACATCCTTAACCCCAATATTTGCCTCACTTAATAAATACTAATAAATTTTGCTTTTATTAATATTCTATTTATAATATAAAAACTATAATTTTTATAATCACATGCAGTTAAAATTTCACTTCGTTAATTAAAGTACTTCTTTTAGACAATATAGTTAGCCAAGCTGGAAGAAACAAGAAATGTACTAAAATGAGCAATTACTTGTCACTAAAGCAGGTATTCATGTAGAGGTCTCTTTTTTTCCTTCACACATCGTTAAGATTATTCCTGCCTAGAACCATTGGTTTACTATTTTCTCTCTGGAATGCTTACTCTGTCCTCAGAACTTAATATCATAGACACAACTCATCATTCATGTTAATATACACATTACCTCCTCAAAGCCTATGCAACTTTACTCTCTTTTAGAATCTTTTTTTTTTTTTAATTCTAAAGGTGATATTGATCAGAGGGGTTACAGTTACTTAAGTCAGATAATGAGTACATTTCTTTTTTCCCTTCTTTTTTTTTTGCCAGTGCTGGGGCTTGAACTCTGGGCCTGGGCACTGTCCCTGAGCTTCTTTTGCTCAAGGCTGGCACTCTACCACTTTGAGCCACAGCGCCACTTCCAAGGCTTTTCTGTTTATGTGGTACTGAAGAATCAAACTCAGGGCCTCATGCATGCGAGGCAAGCACTCTACCACTAAGCCACATTCCCAGCCCAGAGTATATTTCTTTTTGAACATTTTCTCCCAGTGTTTCCCCTCCAAAACCCCTCCTCCCCAAGTTGTATAGTTTATTTCCAACATAGTATCTAGTGAGTATCAGTGCTGAATTAGTTCACAATTTGTCCTTTCCTTCCCCTCCCCAAATCAGATAAACCTATATACAAGACAAAGGGTACAGAAATAAAAAACAATGACAAAAGGGGAAAAAACAACAACAGAAGAAGTAGAAAAAAAGAACTGCAGACAATATAATTAAAAACCTCTTCTTTCCATTTCTTTGAGTTCATTTCAATAAGCATCATTTTATATGATCATATGCATATAGCTCTTGAACCCTTGTGTTCCTCTCCTAAGAATATCCTCCTTTGGTCTCACTGTATGAATGTTTAGAGTCCTGTTTAATTAACCATGCCCTAGTGTAATTTTTTGTCTTTTACTATCCATTGGGTTTATTTGTAGACTTATAGGTACATTTTAATTATTACAAATGAGGGATACCATACAGCCTATATGTCTTTGGGTCTGGCTTACTTTATTTATTTATTTATTTATTTTTGCCCGCCATGAGGCTTGAACTCTGGGCCTGGGCGCTGTCCCACAGCTCTTCAGCTCAAGGCTAGTGCTCTACCACTGGAGCCACAGCGCCACTTCCGGCTTTTTCTGTTTATGTGGTGCTGAGGAATCGAACCAAGGGCCTCATGCTTGCAAGGCATGCACTCTACCGCTGAGCTACCTTCCCAGCCCCGGGTCTGGCTTACTTTAAATCTTTCCATTTCCTTAGGAACGGAGCAATGTCGTTCTTTCTGATGGAAGCACAGAATTCTATTATCTATATATACCACATTTGCTCAAATGGATCAAGAAAATGTTATCTATACACAGTGGGTTTCTTTTAGATTCTTAATTGTATTAATCATTATCAAAATTACCTATTCTCAACTAGATATGTGACATGCCTAGATATCATGCCTTTGATTTTCAGACCCAGGAGGATCAGGCAGAAGGATTACAAGTTTGAGGCTAATCTGGGCTACATAAAAAACCCTTCCAAACAACAACAAAACCAAGCAAACAAAAATTACCTATTACCTTCCTTTAGTCTTTTTTTTTGTCTAGGAATCAGGATTCAAACCTAGGACCTCGTACCTGCTTGGCAAGTACTCTACAACTAAGCTACAATCACAACCCCACATCTATCCATTTCTTTATTCTTTGGTTTCCTTCTTGGCATGTAAACTGTATGAAAGCAATAGCTTCATTTGTCTTACCCATAATATTCCCAGTATTTAGAGCTACGATTGATAGATAATAAATGTTTAATGAATACTTGCTGGGAAAATTAATGAATGAAATTAAATGTATTTAAGACATTTCAGGGCTGGGAAGGTGGCTCAGTGGTAGAGTGCTTGCCTTGCATGCATGAGGCCCTGGGTTCGATTCCTCAGGACCACATAAGCAAAAAGAAAAAAGCTGGAAGTGGTGCTGTGGCTCAAGTGGTAGAGTGCTAGCCTTGAGCTGAAGAGCTGAGGGATAGTGCCCAGGCCCAGAGTTCAGGCCCCACGACTGGACCGCCCCCCCCCCCCAAAAAAAAAAAAAAGACATTTCAATTTATTTAGCCATCTGCAAATATTTATTTCGGACCTATGTGCTGTTAGTCTAGAGATGGAAGATGCAGCAAGGAAAAACATGAAGGCTCCCCTTTCATGGTCCTAGATTATACTGTGTATAGGTTGAAGGATTAGTGAAATGAAATAAATCAAAGTTTCCAAAAAGAGTAATAATTTTCTTCTTTTTCTTTGTGCCATTGCTGGGGCTTGTACTTAAGGCTCTGGCACTGTCTATGAGCTTCTTTTGCTCAAGACTAGCACTCTAGTTTTTGAGCCACAGCATGACCTCTGGCTTTTTCTTAGTAGTTCATTGGAGATAAGAATTTAACAGACTTTCCTTTCCATGCTGGCTTTGAAGTGTGATGCTCAGATCCTGAGTTGCTTGGATTACAGATGTGAGCCACTAGGTTGTTGGGCCTCTGTGGACATTGTCTGGGTTTGGCTGTTAAGTACCTTTGAATTTTATCTATGCTGTATTAACCCAAAAATTCATTTCAGAACAAACTTTACTAACTATATTACTCACTTTAATATGTGGCAAAAATTAATGTATTTGAAAACCATCTTTAAAGCAAGCTTGAACTAAATTTCTTTTGAATTTGCAGATTTTGGAAACATTTGCAAGCTCTCTGATTCAGAGGAATCTTTTGATGAGAAGCGATATCCCCAATTTAACAAAGTACCAGATAATTCTGGCAAGAGATCAATTTAGGAAAAACCCATCTCCAAATATTGTGGTAAATATAAAGATTTTATAACAGGAAGACTAAAATGTAAAATAAGGTTTTCTTTAAGTTTATCATTGGCCCATGACAAGACAAATTTTAACCAAATTTGAAACCCAGGATATTTAATCTTACTTGTAATACCAGAAAGGAGGAAGTGTCACAAAAAGCTACTAATACCTGATGTTCATTGGGAGAAAGTAGATGTATGAAAATATCTGTCAAGCTAGGTCCAAAGTTGGAAGAAATGCTCACAATACAAAAAAACACCAAAGTCTAGAAGTTCAACTCTGTGGTGCATTGCATGCTTAGCATAGATTAGTCCTTGGGTTCCATCCCCAGTAAAACACACACACACACACACACACACACACACACACACACACACACACACACACACACACACACACACACACACACACACACACACACACACACACACACACACACACACACACACACACACACACACACACACACACACACACACACACACACACACACACACACACACACACACACACACACACACCCCTTGGGTTCCATCCCCAGTAAAACACACACACACACCCTCCTCCCCCCCCCCCCCCCCAAGAAAAAATACATGTGGTACTTTTTATAAAAGAATAGCCAATTTAAAGGCAGTCATATAGGAGATAGTGAGCAAGTCAATCTGGCTGAGATATGGTTGTTTAGTCTTTTATTTTTATTTTATTTTATTGTTGTCGTTCATGGGGCTTGAACTCTGTCCCTCAGCTCTTCAGCTCGAGGTGAGTGCTCTACTGCTTGAGCTACAGCTCCACTTCTACTTCCAGTTTTCTAGTGATTTTATTGGAGATAAGAGTCTCACAGACTTTCCTGCCCTGGCTGGTTTTGAACTATGATCCTCAGATCTCAGCCTCCTGAGTAGCTAGGATTACAGGTGTGAGCCACCGGAGCCCGGCATTTGTCTTTTATTTGACAATACCAGGGTTTGAATTAAAGGCCTTGCTTTGTTAGGCCCTGGATTTTGCTGGCTAGTTCTTTTTTTTTTTTTTTGGGTCCAGTCGTGTGGCCTGAACTCTGGGCCTGGGCACTGTCCCTCAGCTCTTCAGCTCAAGGCTAGCTCAAGGCTAGCGCTCTACCACTTGAGCCACAGTGCCACTCCCGGCTTTTTTCTTTTTTCTTATGTGGTGCTGAGGAATCGAACCCAGGGCCTCATGCATGCAAGGCAAGCGCTCTACCACTGAGCCACCTTCCCAGCCCCGCTGGCTAGTTCTTGAGAAAGGATATTGCTTCCTTCCCAGGCACATGCCTGGACTGTGATCTTCCTATTTTAGGCTTATAGTTGCTAGGATGTCAGGTGAGAACTAATATCTAATGGTTTCTTTGGTGTACATTGAGTCTCATGGGTTTTTCTACTAAGGCTGGTGTTGAATGGCAGTCTTCCTGAATTTAGCCTCCCAAGTAGCTAAGAACAAGGATAAAAGCACCTAGCTAGAGCTAAAAGATTCTGAGGAGGCCAAATAGAATAAGTAATAAATAAGTGTGACCACATAGGAATAACTTTCATTTTACACCAAGACATTCAGTCTTTATCCTGTTGTATCTAAAAAAAATACCTCTGAAAGAGTCTTTTCTGGAAAATTTTAGGATGTTATATAAAACATTAATAAACATAATAAATAAATCCATAATCCAAATGGGTTCTTGAATCTGATTTCATTGGTGAGTATATTTTATAAAGAGGAGAGTTTATTGTTTCAGGTACTTAGGGTATTATATAAAAGTATTCATCACTATCATGGAAAAATTTAGAATGAATCAACTGATAAATGCCACTGAAGATGTAAGAGCTGGGATGTAACTCAGTGGCAAAGCACTTGCCTAGCAAGTGCAATGTCGTGAGTTCGATCTCCAGTACCAAAAAAGAAAAGACAAAAAAATACAGTTAAAAATGTAATGTATAGAACTGTAGTCTTCATCAAGGAAAATAATTGAAATGTGTTCTCAATGCTCTTCTTCTAAAATTTTGTTGTCATATAGACATGCCTACTCTTTGCTTCTATAAAGGAAAATAAATGTACTTCAGTTTTCCACAAGGATAGTGATTAAAGCACAAGGCCTCTAGACCAGATTTGCTGGATTTAAATACTCTTCAGCTCAAGGTTAGCACTCTTATCACTTGAGACACAGTGCCATTTCCGGCTTTTTCTGCTTATGTGGTGCTGAGGAATCGAACCCAGGGCCTCATGCATGCAAGGCAAGCATTCTTACCACTGAGCCACCTTCCCAGCCCTTAAATACTTTTTTACAACTTAACCTTTCTAAGTTTCTCTAATCTATAAAATGGACATAATAAAATTGCCTTTCTCTTTGGTGTTAAGATGAAATGATTTTTTTATAACCAATGTACTTGTACAATGTTTTGTGCCTAGTATTAGATATTATTAGGACATATATACTTAATGTTAAACAATCTGATAGATCCACCTCTAACTCATTTTCCATTTCCATGTGACTCATACCTTATTCAGCTCAGTGCTTGATATAGAGGAGATACCTATTAAATAGATTAGACTCTGTATACTATATCTATATACTGTATATGTTTATACTGCTGATACTTATTAAGAGAAACTATATAGTAAATTTCCTGTTGAATTAAAGAGAAAAAAGAGATATATTTCTTGCAGACATTAGACAATGTTTTTTCATATTAATACCCTTTAACGTGGCATTCACTAGAACTTACAAGTTACAATCAGGATTAAAGGGTATAATTATAGTCAGGTGCTGGTGGTTCACACCTTTAATTCTAGCTACTTACGAGGCTGAGATCTGAGGATCCTGGTTTGAAGCCAGCCTGGGCAGAAAATTTCTCATGAGACTCTATTTCCAGTTAACCACTCAAAAACTGGTGGCACTGTGGCTCAAGTGGTATTGCTAGTCTTAAGCACAGCAGAGACACTCAGGGACAGTGACCAGGCCCTGAGTTCAAGCCCCATAACTGACAATAAAACAAAAAAAGGTATAATTATTATGATTGTTTGAATTAATATATTGTCACTTTTTACAGTGATTGTTAGGCTGATAGTATGGGCATTGAGTTTTTAATCTTCATTTGTTTCTCTGGGAGAATTTGACATGTGCCTATTTTTTCAGGGAATACATCAAGGCATAATTGAGGGAGAGTTTGCCATTTGTATCAGTTTATATCATGGTTACGAATTACTGCAGCAAATGGGAATGAGATCATTATATTCTTTTCTTTGTGGAATTATGGATGGAACAAAAGGTAAATGTTATGAAGTTATGTAAAGGAATGATGACAAATGCTATTTTTGTTAAAGTTACATAAAATAGTCACCTAAGGCGCTTTTTTTTGGGGGGGGGGGGGTCGGTTGTGGAGCTTGAGCTCTGCGTCTGGGTGCTGTCCCTCAGCTCTTCAGCTCAAGGCTAGAGCTCTACCACTTGAGTTAACAACACCATTTCTAGTTTTCTGAGTGGTTTATTGGAGATAAGAGTCTCACGGCCTTTTCTGCCATGGGCTGGCTTTGAACCTGATCCTCACATCTCAGCCTTGTAAGTAGCTAAGATTACAGGTAGAACCACTATGCCCAGTTAAGATATTTTTTATTTAGTTATTTATTGCCAGTCCCAGGGCTTGAACTTAGGGCTGGGCACTGTGCTTGAGCTTCTTTTGCTCAAGGCTAGCACTCTACCACTTGATCCACTGAGCCACCTCCAGCTTTTTCTCTGTATGTAGTACTGAGGAATTGAACTCAGGGCAAGCACTCTACAGCTAGGCCACATTCCCAGCTTGATGCTTCATTTTTAAAAGCAATTATGCAACAAATGTTACAGTTCTTTGTTTTTGATTAATTGCTAGATAATATGACATGATTGTTAAAGTAGGAAAACCAGCTGTTTTCATGTTTAAATTTGAAAAACTTGTATTCATTCTAAGAGTTAAATTTCTTTTTAATAATAAATTTGACTAATTTGCTTTTAAGTTTACTTATTTGCAAAACCTTTTCTTATTTTCTGAAGGAATGGCACGGGCAAAAACTGAACTTAGCCGAAATGAGGACTTCATGAAACTCTATAGCCATCTAGAGTGCATTTTTGCACATACACCTGGCACTTCAGCAAGTGATAATGCTCGTATCCACAAAGGTATTGATTTTTACTTAGAATTCTGTCTTGCATACCTGTTGTCTTCAGTTGCTTAGGAAGCTAAGGCAGGACAATTGTTCCTGTTCAGGAGATTGAGGTAAACCTAGGTAATATAGCGAGACAATAAGTAAAACAAAATATGAAGTAAAAATACGAAATAAAAAGATTGTATATTGTTTCTCTCTCTTTCTCTCTCTCTTTTTTTTTTTTTTGTCAGTCATGGGGCTTCGACTCAGGGCCTGGATGCTATCTCTGAGCTCTTTCGCTCTATCACTTTGAGCCACAGCCCCACTTGGAGTTTTCTGGTGCTTAATTGGAGATAAGAGTCTCACAGGCTTTCCTGCTTAGGCTGACTTTTGAAGCAGGATCCTCAGATTTCAGCCTCCTGAGTAGCTAGGATTACAGGTGTGAACTACCAGCACCGAGCTTTTTTTCCTTTTTTTAAATGAGACAAGGTTTCACTATGAAACCCAGTCTGCTTTCATACTTGTGATCTTTCTTCCTCACCCTCTGAAGTTCTGATATGCCACCATGCCTAAATTGTTTTATTTATTTATTTATTTATTTATATTTTTTTTGGGGTCCAGTCGTGGGGCCTGAACTCTGGGCCTGGGCACTGTCCCTCAGCTCAAGGCTAGCACTCTACCACTTGAGCCACAGCGCCACTTCTGGCTTTTTTCTTTTTGCGTATGTGGTGCTGAGGAATCGAACCCAGGGCCTCATGCATGCAAGGCAAGCGCTCTACCACTGAGCCACCTTCCCAGCCCTATTTATTTATTTATATATTATTTTTTTCTTTCTTTTTGGGGTCCAGTCGTGGGGCTTGAACTCTGGGCCTGGGCGCTGTCCCTCAGCTCTTCAGCTCAAGGCTAGCGCTCTACCACTTGAGCCACAACGCCCCTCCCGGCTTTCTTCTTTTTGCTTATGTGGTGCTGAGGAATCGGACCCAGGGCCTCAGCATGCAAGGCAAGCGCTCTACCACTGAGCCACCTTCCCAGCCACTAAATTTTTTTTTTTTAATAAATATTAATTTTGAAATTTTGTTCTATTGATGCACATATCTACCTTTATTTATATTTGTGTACCAGGCCTTCTAAATATTTAAGGATTTTATTGTTAGGATTAATACTTATTCAAGTTTATTGTTTATAAACTTAAACTTCTAATATATATTATTTGTTAGTAGTGAAAATTCTCAGGCAATCTGATCTACAGTTTAAATAAATGTATTTCCCCTTTGTTTTGTTACTAATTTCCATTTGGGTATTTACATGCTAGTTACTATGTAAATAAAAAATAAAAATTAACATTTTAATGTGTGTTTTATGAAAGATTCATTAATATGATTAATATGGGAAAATACAGAAATAATTTTGGTTTTTTTTTTTGTGTGTGTGTGCAGGAGATAGAAGTAAAGATTTTTTCTATAGTCATCCAAAGTTAAAGAAATTAGAAGAAGTTGTAATTGAACATTTCAGGTCATGGAATGGTAGGTAACAGTAGTTTTGAAGGTAAGGTAGTTATTTAAAGTGCTAATATTTTGGAAGTGGTGCTGTAGCTCAAGCGGTAGAGAGCTCGCCTTGAGCTGAAGAGCACAGGGACAGTGCTCAAGCCCAGAGTTCAAACCTCATGACCGACCCCCCCCACCCCCCCAAAAAAAAGGGCTAATATTTCTACTTACTAGTTTTTGCTAACACATCTTATAAAGGAGGAATTATAATTGTTCTAAATAATTAATATTAAAAGTTGGAAGAAATTTTGGAAAAGTATGAGCAGGGGAATGGTAGGAATGCCTAGAATAAGGTAATTAGGAAAAAGGTTGGGGCCAATTAAGAATAAGAGTGAAAACATCCGTAATAAAGTGGTAGGAAAGTATGGTAGATTGGGAGAAAGTTTCTTATTTTTGAGAGTGGTTAGAGTGTGTGAAATGTTTCAGCTGATACCTGGTAGAAGTGAGGGAGCCAACCTGGGGATTTCTGAAAGAAGGATTGTTGTAGGCAGAAAGAATAGCATAGTTCAATGCCCTAATTTGTTAGCTTGCTTAGTTTTTTTTTTTTTTTTTTTTTTTTTATATTCTACCAAGTTTTTCTTTTTTTTTTTAGCTTGCTTAGTTTTATTAAATATCAATGTACTAGATGAGGATGAGTGAGGGTAAGTTGTGTGCATATGAGGTATAATAAAGACCAGATTGAATAGGGCTTATTTATTTATTTGGTGCTACTACTAAGATTTGAATTCAGGATCATTCTCTCCTTTGGCTTTTTTGATCTTCAGTGTGATATTCACCAAATTGATAGTTTGGAGACCAAGTTGGGGCTAGAAGGGTGTATTGAGAAATAACATCTACAGACTTTAAAGCAAAGCAGTCACCAAGGAGTTTCAGATGGAAACCGAGAAACATATCAGAGAAGCAGGGAGGAAACCATAGCAGTAGGAAAAAGTGGACTTCAAAACTCTTCAGAGAAATAGGATAAGAAAAACTTCAAGGTGTTCCTTTAATTTGGTAGTGTAGAATTTATTGATGCCTTTGATAGAGTTTTAGTGACATTAGGGTAGAGAGGCCAGTGCCATAAGGTTAGAGACTGGATTTGTAGTAACAGTAGCATGCTACGATGATTCAAACAGGTTTGTCCAGGATAATTTTTTTTTTTTTGGGGGGGGGGGGTCGGTTGTGGCCCAAATTCTGGGCTTAGGAGCTGTCCCTGCGCTCTTCAGCTCAAGGCGAGCACTCTACCGCTTGAGCCACAGTGCCACTTCCAGTTTTCTAGTGGTTTATTGGAGATGAGTTTCACGGACTTTCCTGCTGACTTTGAACCGTGATCCTTAGATCTCAGCCTCCTGAGTAGCTAGGATTACAAGTGTGAGTCACTGGCACCAGGCTTTTTTTTCCCCCAAGGATAATTTTATTTGCTATAGTTACTTCTTTTAGCTCTTACTCTTTGCTTCTTTTGCTTGTTACTGTATTGTGAATTAACACTATATGGACTTTAGGCGAATGGTCTGAGCCAGTTCTTAATGTAAAAAATAAAATGTATTATTGCGAAAATTAAATGAATTAGTAAATACATCGTTTGGTTACTGGCATTTGTATAATAATTTACAAGGAAGATAAAGGCATTGTCAACCTAATTGTACAAATCTGTAATCTCAGCATTCAGGAGACTGAGACAGAAGGATTTAGAGTTTGAGGCCAGCCTGAACTACATAGTGAGACCCTACCTCAAAAAAGATAAGCATACAAGCTGGGTGCTGGTGGCTCACACTTGTAATCCTAGCTAGTCAGGAGGCCGAGATCTGAGGATCACAGTTCAAAGCCAACATATGAGACTCTTATCGCTAATAAAACTCCCCAGAAAAAGCTAGAAGTGGCACTGTGGTTCAAGTGGTGTAGCAATAGTCTTGAGCAAAAAAAAAAGCTCAGAGACAAAGCCCAGGCCTGGAATTTAAGCTCCAAGAGCAGCACATAAAAAAACAAACAAAAAAACAGACACAAGAAGAAAAAAAGATTTTTGAAGTTCTAAACTGAGCTTTTTTTTTTTTTTAAAATTTTATTTTATTTGTGAACATACTGTACAGAGGGGTTACAATTACATGGGCAGGATAATGCGTACATTTCTTACCAAGCATTGCAGCCTCCTCCTTTGTTTACCCTTCACCTCCCTTCCCAGCCTCCCGCCCCCCCCCCAACTAAACTGAGCTTAAACAACAAAAATACCTGTGTACTTTGCAATTTATTAGGCCATGATTATTCAAACCTTTTCCATTTTTTAATTTACTTAGTTACCAGTCAGTTTTATTTTATTTTTTAAATCATTTCCTTATTTTTAATGTTTTTATTTTTTTTATTATCCTGAAGTAGTATGCAAAGGGGTAATAGTACATTTTAGATAAGTCACATCACTTAGAAAATAAGTTGCTTGATCATAAAATTCATGTTCATCTTAGTGCATTCTGCTGGTTGCCAAGCATAGGCATTGGCAGCAGCTTTGGAACTGACTAGAAGATATTTTGCAGTTATCTTTTGTGAATTTGCAGGTATAGCAGGTTTGGGGATGTGTGGCCAGGTTAAGAGAGCCTTTTATGAACAGGAGAGAAAATTGTTCTTCTGTCTGTCTAGGAGAACAAAGGGAGAATCAGTCATGTCTTTTATTGATAGCTACTTAAAATGATTCAGATTCTTTTTTTGGGGGGGGGGGGGGGGCGGTCGTGGTGCCTGAACTCTGGGCCTGGGCACTGTCTCTCAGCTCTTCAGCTCAAGGCTAGCGCTCTACCACTTGAGCCACAATGCCACTTCCGGCTATTTTTTTTGCTTATGTGGTGCTGAGGAATGGAACCCAGGGCCTCATGCATGCAAGGCAAGCGCTCTACCACTGAGCCACCTTCCCAGCCTCATGATTCAGATTCTTAATGGACTTCTCTAAAAGTTTATTTTATTTTGTGGGTTGTGGGGCTTGAACTCAGGGCCTGGGCACTGTCCCTGAGCTCTTTTGCTCAAGGTTATTATTTTACCACTTTTAGCCACAGCTTCACTTCTGGTTTTTTGGTGGATAATTGGAGATAAGAATCTCACAGACTTTTCTCCTCTGACAGGCTTTGAACCACAGTCCTCAGATCTCAGCCTCATGAGAAGCTAGGATTAGAACTTTATTTTATGATAGCCAATGAGAAATGGAGCCAAGATTATTAAAATTACTATGCACTACAGTAGAAAAAGACAGTGTTAAAAACTTCTTAAAATAAATTTTTAAAATAATTATTTAACATTAGTATATAGCTTCAGGGTAGTGTTTTAAACTAGTTCTTCCCTAAAGACATTTTAAAAGTTGTAACTGAAATATTTTCTGCTCCACAGCTAAAAACACCTCTGAAAAGAAAAATGATGAAACAAGAGTTATGATTTTTTCATCATTTCGAGACAGCGTTCAGGAAATTGCAGAAATGCTTTTAAAACATCAGCCGGTTATTAGAGTGATGACATTTGTTGGCCATGCTACAGGGAAAAGCATGAAAGGTTTTACCCAGAAGGAGCAATTAGAGGTAATCATTTTTGTAGATGTTGAAACAAAAATAAAGCCAATTAACTTTTAACTTTTTGTTTTGTAATCACTAGGCACTTTGCTACTGAAATAAAATTTCATAATTCATAACGTGAAATTTTTTTTTTTTGTTGGTCGTGGGGCTTGAATTCTGGGCTTGGCCTCTATCCCTCAGTTCTTCAGCTCAAGGCATACACTCTACTGTTTGAGCCACAGCGCCACTTCTGGCTTTTTTCTTTTTTCTTATGTGGTACTCAGGAATCAAACCCAGGGCCTCAGGCATGCAAAGCAAACGCTCTACCACTGAGCCACCTTCCCAGTCCCAGGGACTGAGTTCTTTTGCTCACGTCTAGCACTCTACCACATTGAACCACAGTGCCGCTTCCAATTTTCTGGTGTTTAATTGGAGTTAAGCGTCTCTCAGACTTTTCTGCCCAAGCTGACTTTAAACTGTGATCCTCAGATCTCAGCCTCCCGAGTAGCTAGGATTATGGACATGAGCCAGAAATTCCTGGCTTTGAACTTTTTATCACCCTGTAATAAACATTTTTTGGACTGGCGCAGTAATGGATTCTTGGACCACACTTTGAGTAGCGCTGTTAAAAAAGAAGTGGAAGCCGGGCACTGGTGGCTAATACTTATAATCCTAGCTACTCAGGAGGCTGAGATCTGAGGATCATGGTTTAAAGACAGCCAGGGCAGGAAAGTCCACAAGACTCTTATCTCCAATTAATCACCAGAAGATTCGAAGTGGTGCTGTGCCTCAAGTGTTACAGTGCTTGGTTTGAGCTGAAGAGCTGAGGGACTGCGTCCAGGCCTTGAGTTCAAGCCCCCACAACCGACCATAAAAATAAGTAAATAAAATCAGGCTTTTCTCACTAAGAAACTGTTGTATTGTTAACAAATCCTTCTGACATCACAACTTTGCTCTTTCTATCCTATGATAGTCTCTTTTGGCATATCTTGCTACTTCGTGACCATTTTTCTTATTCTGTGGTATCCAGAATGCTGATTTTTAATCTGATTTTGCCATTTTAGTGTGATTGGGAAAACTATTTTAATCTGTAGTTCTCTTACATTTACACTTAGTAATTGTTTTTTATCTCAGGTAGTGAGACGATTTCGTGATGGTGGTTACAACACATTGGTCTCTACCTGTGTTGGTGAAGAAGGTTTGGATATTGGGGAAGTTGATCTTATAATCTGTTTTGATGCCCAGAAGAGCCCGATTCGCCTGATACAACGAATGGGGAGAACTGGCCGCAAACGTCAAGGCAGGATTGTGGTGATCCTTGCTGAAGGCCGTGAAGAGCGGGTGAGTAGATGGGAACAAACATGATTCAATATTTAAATATTTAAACATGAGAAACACATCCTGAAAACAAGTACCAGTGTTTAACATTCAAAGCTCAAACAATTTGAAGGCAAATGTGTTTTTCCTGTGCTTATAAGACTTGTTTTCCATGTTTTGGGGGTTTATTTTTTGTGTATTTATACTGGGGGACTTGAACTCAGGGCCTTATGTCCTTGCTTAGCATTTCTGCTCACGGCTGGTGCTCTACTACTTGTGCTACCTCTCTACTTCTGGCTTTGTGCTGGTCACTTGGAGATAAGAGTCTGCTCTAGATGGCTTCTAACTGTGATTCTCAAATTTCAGCTTCCTGAGTGACTAGAATTATAGGCATGTGCCACTAGAAAATTACTTTAATGGATTTTTTTTCCCCCTGGTCCTGGGGCTTCAACTCTGGGCCTGGATACTGTCTCTGATATTCTTTTGCTCAAGGCAAGCACTGTACCACTTGAGCCACAGTGCCACTTCCAGCTTTTTGAATAGTTTATTGGAGATAAGAGTCTCACAGACTTTCCTGCCCAGGCTGGATTCAAACCTTGATCTCAGATCTCGTAGCTAGGATTATAGGCATGACCTACTGATACCAGATGTTGTCAAAATACTTGGGTAAAATACTGGCAGACAGGGACCAAGTTACACACAATCATCCTGGTGTTGACTCTGCCTTTAATGAAAATGACAGTTCTTGTTTCCTTATAAGAGACACCTTCCACCAACAGCAACCTATGCCTTACTTTAGGCAGAGAAGGCACATATAGATAATTTTTCTTGTGCTGTTGACTCTGGGTTTTTTTGTTTTTTTTTTGTAGGTCATGAGGTGGCACTCACCCCTTGAGCCACAGGGCCACTTCCTGTTTTCTGAGTGGTTTATTGTAGATAAGAGTCTCTCCAGCTTTCCTGTCAGAGCTGGCTTTGAACCATAATCCTCAGATCTGAGTCTCCTGAGTAGCTAGTATTACATGCATGAGCCATTGGTGACCTGGCCAAAATGTTAACTTTTTTTTTTTTTCTGGTCCGGTTGTGGGGCCTGAACTCTGGGCCTGGGCGCTGTCCCTCAGCTCTTCAGCTCAAGGTTAGCGCTCTACTACTTGAGCCACAGCGCCACTCCCGGCTTTTTTCTTTTTGCTTATGTGGTGCTGAGGAATCGAACTCAGGCTTCATGCATGCGGGGCAAGCGCTCTACCACTGAGCCAACTTCCCCGCCCCCAAAATGTTAACTTTTAACTTTTATGACATATTAGGACAAATTTGGTGGTGAAATATCTAGTTTCACATCAAAAATTTTTTCATCATCTATCATACTTTTATTTTTTTGGGTCTGGTCGTGGGGCCTGAACTCTGGGCCTGGGTACTGTCCCTCAGCTCTTCAGCTCAAGGCTAGCACTGTACCACTTGAGCCACAGTGCTGCTTCCGGCTTTTTTCTTTTTGCTTATGTGGTGCTGAGGAATCGAACCCAGGACCTCATGCATGCAAGGCAAGTGCTCTACCATGGAGCCACCTTCCCAGCCCCCTATCATACTTCTAAAAAGTTGATTCCAAATGTTTTCAACACCCTTTAAGTCAATCTAAAAAATGAATTGTTTTTCCTGTACAGGTCATGTAGTTGTAATATATTTGTGTGTAACATCTAGTTTACCCATAAACTGATCCTAATAAATGACATGTTTGGCAGTTAGTACAAGGTCATACATATTATCAGTGAGTGGAAATAAGTACTAATTGTGCTGCTCAGCCAAGATAGTAATCTTTCTACCTCTATGACCGTTATAGTGAACCACAATTAAGGAATGCTTGCCCTAATTATTTAGATCCAGCACCTTATTTAACTTGGTACCTTGTAAGGAGTATGCTTTTGCAGTAAAAAAAGCAGAAGTGTAGAGACATAAGGCAGGTGAAATAAGAGACTTGTAACAAGGAAACACCCCCAAACTTTTAACACTTGGTTATATTAATTATCAAACATAGGTAAATATCAACCACATTCCAAAATTTTATTATATATCACTATATAATAAAAACAAAAAAAATTTTTAAATTTTTTATTGTTTATTTATTCATTTTTTTATTGTGAACATACTGTACAGAGGGGTTACAATTACATGGGCAGGATAATGAGTACATTTCTTTTTTTTTTTTTTGGTCAGTCGTGGGGCTTGAACTCTGGGCCTGGGCGCTGTCCCTCAGCTCTTCAGCTCAAGGCGAGCGCTCTACCACTTGAGCTACAGCGCCACTTCCGGTTTTTTGGTGGTTTATTGGAGATAGGAGTCTCACGGTCTTTCCTGCCCGGGCTGGCTTTGAACCACGATCCTCAGATCTCAGCCTCCTGAGTAGCTAGGATTACAGGCATGAGCCACCAGCGCCCGGCTATGAGTACATTTCTTATCGAGCATTGCGGCCTCCTCCTTTGTTTACCCTTCATATCCCTTCCCAGCCTCCCCCGCCCCCCCCAACCAGTCCTCCCCCTCCCCCCCCAAAGTTGTAAAGTTCGTTTTCGACATGACAACTTGTACTTCTCATTGTTGTAACGTGTCCACAGTTATCCTTAAACGACTTGTTTTTTCCCTTCTCCACAAATTATACCGACATCAAATATAGTGAAAGCAGGGGTTATACTGTGGGGAAGGGACATACAAAGCAACAAAGAAATAATCTTATAAATGCGTTAGAAACAATCACATGAAAGAAAAAAACATTTAAATACATATCTTAGGGTTCATTTTCCTAACATCACATTATCTGACCTTTTCTGCTTGACTCATACATATACTAGATATTGCAAATAAGGGAAATCATGGGACCTATGTTTCTTTGGGCTTGGCTTACTTCGCTTAATATAATTTTTTCCAAGTTTTTCCATTTCCTAACAAATGGGGCAATGCCATTCTTTCTGATGGAGGCATAGAATTCCATTGTGTATATATACCACATTTTCTTGATCCATTCATCTACTGAGGGGCATCTGGGTTGGTTCCATATCTTAGCTATGGTAAATAATGCTGCAATAAACATAGTTGTGCTGGTAGCTTTAGTGTGGTCTTGTTTGTAAACATTTGGGTAAATGCCCAAAAGTGGGATTGCTGGGTAATAGGGGAGCTCTATGTGAAGTCTTTTGAGGAACCTCCATACTGCTTTCCAAAGTGGTTGAACAAGTTTACACTCCCACCAACAATGAAGTAAGGTTCCCTTCTGTCCACATCCCTTCCAGCATCTGTTGTTGTTAGAGTTCTTGATTATAGCCATTCTAACTGGGGTGAGGTGTTATCTCAATGTTGTTTTGTTTTGCATTTCTTTTATGGCTAGGGAGGTTGAGCATTTCTTCCTGTGTCTATTGGTCATCCTTCTTTCTTCTTCAGAGAAGTTTCTCTTTAAGTCTTTTTTTTTTTTTGGTCCAGTCATGGGGCCTGAACTCTGGGCCTGGGCACTGTCCCTCAGCTCTTCAGCTCAAGGCTAACGCTCTACCACTTGAGCCACAGCGCCACTTCCGGCTTTTTTCTTTTTGCTTATGTGGTGCTGAGGAATCGAACCCAGGGCCTCAGGCATGCAAGGCAAGCGCTTTAACTACTGAGCCACCTTCCCAGCCCCTCTCTTTAAGTCTTTAGCCCACTTATTTATTGGGCAGTTGTTTCTTTGAGGATTTGTTGTTGGGGGATTTAATTTTTTGAGTTCCAAGTATATTTTAGATATGAGACCCTTGTCTGTTGTATGGCTAGTGAAGATCTTCTCCCAATCCGTGGAGTTTCTATTGATCTTGCTAGCTATGTCCTTTGCCATGCAGAAGCTCTGCAACTTCAACTTCATGCAATCCCATTTGTCCAACCTTTCTTTGATTTGTTGTGTTTCTGGGTCTCTATTAAGAAAATTTCGGCCTGCGTCAAGAAGACTTAGGGTTTCTCCTATTCCATCCTGTAATGTTTTCAGAGTGTCTGTTTTGACTTCGAGGTCTTTGATCCATTTGGAGTTGATTCTGGTGCAGGGTGATATATAAGGATCTAGTTTTAGTTTTCTACAAGTAGTTAACCAATTTTCCCAGCACCATTTACTGAAGAGGCTGTCTTTCTTCCATTCTATTTTTTTAGCTCCCTTATCAAAGATTAGATGGCTATAGGTCTGTAGGTTCATTTCTGGGTTTTCAATTCTATTGCATTGGTCCTGAGGTCTGTTCTTGTGCCAGTATCAAACTGTTTTGATTACTATGGCTTTATAGTAGAGTAAAAACAAAATTTTCTTTGTGCACTATAGTTACTAAGATTGTTGTACCGAACTTGAGACCCCCCCCCCCCCCCCCCAAGACCACCAGAGACCAAGATCAATGTAAACAGCAAAAGAGTTTATTGCAAGCTCGAGCTTGGTCCTCTGCGCACTCAGTAACCGGTGACACTAAGAGGTCTCTGGCATAGAATCAGCACAGGTTTTATAGTATTGAACAAACAACTTTAAGGAATTTTTCATGAGAAATTACATGATTGGTTGATATTTAAAGAAAGCTAAGCTGGGCAAACATGATTGGTTAACACTGTTATTGAGAAGAATTGTCTGACTGTTGGGTCACCGTGCCCTATATAGCCACCCAGTGCCTGATTGATGCATCTGGGGGAAATTCCTGTGGTTTTTCCGAGGATTGTTTATGTTCCTCGTTGCCCAAGAATTATTTTTCTTTTTGTGCCATTCCCGGGTCGGGCTCATGGTCAGTTCCAAGACTCATACCTTACAGGATGGTTACTGGCTTGAAGATGGAGTCACTCAGGCATCAGGCTCTTCAAAGATATTTTTTATAATCGATTTTTTAAAAGATTTTCATCAAAAGTTAACTTCTCAGTTTACTGATTTTAAAATTAGAGACAATGGGAATTCTATTTTCTAATATTTACTTAAGTGAGCATCTTATTTTATCTTTACAATAAACCCAAATCAGACAATTACTACTTTATTGCTGAATTTTTTTTTTTTTTTGTCGGCCATGGGGCTTGAAATCTGGAAATCTGGGCCTGGACACTGTGCTGTCCCTGAGCTCTTCAGCTCAAGGCTAGCGCTCTGTCACTTGAGCCACAGCGCCACTTCAGGTTTTCTGGTGGTTTATTGGAGATAAGAGTCTCATGGACTTTCCTTTCTGGGCTGGCTTTGAACTGCAATACTCAGCTCTCAGCCTCCTGAGTAGAATTACAGGCGTAAGCCACCAGCATCCGGCTTAATAATTTTTATTGAAATAATGAAATTTGCCAATTTGTATTTGTCTTTGCAGACGTACAACCAGAGTCAGTCCAACAAAAGAAATATTTATAAAGCTATTTCAGGTAGCAGACAGATCCTTCATTATTACCAAGGAAGTCCACGAATGGTTCCTGATGATATCAACCCAAAATTACACAAAATGTTCATCACTCATGGTGTCTTCGAGTCAGAAAAGGCATCTCGGAGTGTGCGGCGCAAGTCCTCCAGGGAAAGTAAGAAAGGTTTTACATGTTCTCTGTCCCCCAATGCTCTTAGCTCACAGGTCCCAGAATATATTTGTTCCTGGAAAAACTAAGATATTTGGGTATTTTCTTTGGAAGGATCAAAGATATATGTCCCATGCTGGATTCTCAGAGAATCCTCTCCAAATGTATTGGAAAGAAATAAGTCCATTTTGGAAGGATTATTTTCCCCTAGGTACTGGGAATTGAACTATGCCTTTAACCCCTAGTTAAAACTTACAGAATAGCATTCAACCAATAACTGTGTACATTGTAGACAATCTACAAAGATAATGAGGACATAAAGAAGTTCTCTCCTGTGTTCATCCCTAAGTAATTACAGTCCTTTACATTCAGGTTTTTACAATCAGCAATAACTTGTCCTCATGGAAGAGACCAGTATCATTTGTTGCACATGTTTTTCATTGTGCATCCCAAATTTACCAGGTAACCAATGTAACCATTTGTTTTAGTGAGTTAACCTTTATAAAACTACTCTTATTTCTGACCAGCAGATATTGACAGGTTCTTGAAAAGTTTGAGGTGATCTTCTGTGGATTTTGAGAGCTGAAGACACTATTGATGGCTTTAAATAGGGACACTATCTTTTTTGATTGTGTATATTTCAAACACAACTCTTAAACTTTTAAGAAAATCATTTCTGGTGTGAAAAGGTAGGTAGCAGTTTGCTTTTATAAGGGTTTATGTATCAAAGGATTAAAGGATTTACAAATACAAGGTGTCCCTTGATCCTCAGATCTCCGCCTTCTGAGTAGCTAGGATTACACCAGTGCCCATAAGGTGTCCCTTGAAATGCTCCTTTTACAAAGGAAAAACAAAATGATGTTTATACTTGTAATACGTAAGGGTAAAGTTAGCCAAAGTTATTAGTAATAATGAAATGGAAACAAATGATGTACTGAAACAAAGAATTTGGTACAGGAGTATAGTTAGTAATGAGAGTGTTGATGGCTTAGGGACTATAGAGACTTTACTGATACCAGAAAAATGTCTTGAAATATTTGCATTATGAACATGAGAAACCAAAAGTTTACTCTTTGGATTTGACTTAATGTTTAAAGAGGGCTGTGACTTGAAGTAGTAGAGCACTAACCTTAAGCTCAAAAGCTCAGGGACAAGGCCCAGGCCCACAATGCAAGCCCCACAACTGACAACAACAATAATACTAAATCAACTAAAACCAGGCACTGGTGGCTCACAACTCTAATCCTAGCCACTCAGGAGACAGACATCTGAGAATTGTGGTTGAAAGCCAGCTTTCATTTAATCACCAAGGAGTGGAAGTGGAGCTGTGGCTACAGTAGTAGAGTACCAGCCTTGAGTAAAAAGGCTAAGAATAGTACTGAGGCTCTGAGTTCAAGCCTTAGTAACAGAAAAAATTCAGAACTAGAATTTTCACCCTTGGCTTACTACTTCTTTATATTTTTGAAGACCTGTCTTTTTATTATTTTTTTCATTTTTGGTAGTGTAAGGGTATGACTCAGCATAGGCCCAAGACATATTCTAGCCCATTTTGCTTTCATTATTTTTTATTTGTTTATTTGATAGCGAGTCCTGGGGCTTGAACTCAGGGCCTGGGCATTGTCCCTGAGCTGCTTGCTCAAGGCTAGCACTCTACCATTTGAGCCACAATGTCACTTCCAGCTATTTCTGTTTATGTGGTACTAAAGAATTGACCCAGAGTTTCATGCATACTAGGTAAGCACTCTACCACTAAGCCATGTTCCTAGCCCTATTGTTATTTTTAAAATAGAGACTAATTTTTTGACTTTACGAGCTGGACCTGGATCCTCCTATATTATGTGTCCCTGCCTGCTGTCGCTGTTTTGACAGGTATGTGGCACCACTGTACTTGAGTTTTTCTGTTGAGATGAGCTCTCATTTTCTGCCTGAGCTGGTTTTTAACTTGGATCCTTCCCATGGCAGCCTCCTGAGTGGCTAGAATTAGAGGTGTGAACTTATACACTGAGATTTTTTTTTTTTGGCCAGTCTTAGGGCTTGAGCTCAGGGCCTGATACTGTCCCTAAGTTTTTTTTTTTTTTTTGTGCTCAGGACTAGTGCTCTACCACTTGACCTACAACTGTACTTCTGGCTTTTTGTGGTTAATTAGTGACAAATCTCAGACTTTTCTGCCCAGGCTGGTTTCAAACCATGATCCTTAGATTTCAGCCACCCAAGGAGTTAGGTTTACAGGAGTGAGCCACTAGTAGACAGCCAGACCGAGTTTTGAGTTTGTTCTTTTGTTGCACTAGTTTTATCTACACAATTTCAAATTCTTACTCTAGTCACAGGTGTTACCTGTTTTTTTTATTGTTGTTGTTGTTATTGTTTTTTTTCTTTTTATTTATTTTTTACACTGTTTTTTGCATGGTTTATCTCCCCAGTCATTGTCCACAGGACTCTGGGAAGCTGTAGGAATATGCAGGTGCAGACACAAAAGCCCAGCTTCATATCCAACATTGTGGGAGGGACTATACATCATTGGGCAGAGACCTATGCTCCCCTAGGCCATGAGGACAGAGTCCGGGGAGAGTGACCTACCGGGGTGTCCGTGTTGGAATTGTTTTTTTTTCTCTTGACATAAGTTCTTACAATGTACCTTAGGCTGGCCTGAAATTCATTCTTGCTAGTTCAACCTCCTGACTGATGGAATTGCATCCTTATTTTAACTTAGACATCAATTTGTGCTTTTTAGTACACGTAGTAGGTCTTTCATTGTATAATACTGCTAAATCTTTGTTTAAAATCAGGCATAGCGGTTGGGAAATTGGCTCAGTGGTAGAGTGCTTGTCTTGCATACATGAGGCCCTGGGTTCGATTCCTCAACACCACATAAGCAGAAAACTCTGGAAGTGACGCTGTGGCTCAAGTGGTAGAGCATTATCCTTGAGCTGAAAAGCTGAGGGATAGTGCCCAGGCCCAGAGTTCAGGCCCCATGACTGACAAAAAAACCCAGAAATCAAAATAAAATCAAGTATAAATGAAATGATATAAAAGTTTGTTTTTTAAACAGATTTTCTTTCTTTTTTTGGGTCCAGTTGAGTCGTGCTCTGCAGCTCAAGGCTAGCATTCTACCAGGTGAGCCACAGGGCCACTTCTGGCTTTTTTCTGCTTATGTGGTGCTGAGGAATCGAACCCAGGGCCTCATGCATGCAAGGCAAGCACTCTACCACTGAGCCACCTTCCCAGCCCCTAAACAGATTTTCTTGATGTTGTTAAATTCATAATAGCATCAAGACTTAGGTTGGATTCATTGTTTATAGTGGTCTTTGTTGTAAATGCTAGTGTTACATTTGATAATTATTTCTAAACTGTTACTTAGAGTATATAACGGAAGGATAAAATTTGGGAGTAGGTCGATACAACATGGCCCTTACTGTTCTAGAATAAAGAGCTGCAGGTCATTGCCTCTTGGAAAAAAAAAAAAAATTCTGGAACTTGTTACCAGTGGCTTGTGCCTGTAATAGTAGCTACTCAGGAGGCTGAGCTCTAAAGATCAAGCTTTGAATCCAGCACAGGCAGACAAATGCTCAAGACTTTTTTTTTTTGTGTGAGTTTGAGTTACAGCACCACTTCTGGTTTTTTGTTGGTTAATTGGAGCTAAGAGTCTCAGCCTTTCTTATACAGGCTGGCTTTGAGCCATGATCCTCAGATATCAACCTCCTGAGTAGCTAGGATGACATGTGTAGGCCAGCAGCGTCTGGTTAGACTCTTATCTCTAAGTAACCAGCAAAAAGCCAGAAGTGAAGGCATGGCTCAAATGGTAAATTACCAACCTTGAGTGAAAAATCTAAGCAACAACACAAAGCCCTCAGTTTAAACCTCAGTACTGGTACATAAAAAATTCTGGAACCAAGTCTTTAAAAAAAATTGAGGGGCTGGGAAGGTGGCTCAGTGGTAGAGCGCTTGCCTTGCATGCCTGAGTTCGATTCCTCAGCACCACATAAGCAAAAAGAAAAAGCCGGAAGTGGCCCTGCGGCTCAAGTGGTAGCGCACTAACCTTGAGCTGAAGAGCTGAGGGACAGCGCCCAGGCCCAGAGTTCAGGTCCCATGACCGGACCCCCCCCAAAAAAAAAAAATTTGATCTATATTGCCTTTATTTTCTCCCCTATACTTTCCTTGTATTTTCTTGGATTTTTCTAGGATTTTCCTTTTTTTTTTTTTTTTTTTTTTGTCCGTCGTGGGGCTTGAACTCTGGGCCTGGGCGCTGTCCCTCAGCTCTTCAGCTCAAGGCGAGCGCCCTACCACTTGAGCTACAGCGCCACTTCCGGTTTTTTGGTGGTTTATTGGAGATAGGAGTCTCACAGTCTCCTGCCCGGGCTGGCTTTGAACCACGATCCTCAGATCTCAGCCTCCTGAGTAGCTAGGATTACAGGCGTGAGCCACCAGCGCCTGGCTTCTAGGATTTTCTTTTGTTGGTCATAGGGCTTGAACTCAGGGCCTAGGCACTGTCCCTGATCTCTTGTGCTCAAGGCTAGTGCTCTATCACTTTGAGCACAGCTCCACTTCCAGTTTTCTGGTGGTTGATTGTAGATAAGAGTCTCACAGACTTCTCCCCAGATAGGCTTTGAACCACAGTCCTTACATCTCAGCCTCCGGAGAATCTAGGATTGCAGGAGTGAACCACTAGCACTCAGCTTGCTTTTCCAGTTTTAGTGACTCATTCTGCCAAGATTATTTATGTCTTTGTATGTTCTAGATAATCTTTGCCCATCACCCTACACATAATCAGTATATAATTCTTCTGGACATTGTGGTCTCAAGGTTTTGTTTTTTTATTGCCTATACTAGTGTTGGTACTTAGAACCTCTTGCTTACTTAACTGCTTGCTCAGTCAGCTAGTGCTCTACCACTTGAACTCTATCTATAGCTCTGACTTTTGCTGGGTATTTTGTACTTTTTGTCCAGGGTAGCACATTTTATGGTTTTTTGGTTTTATTTTGCTTTACTATAATTTTATTCATTTGATTAACCCCAGGACCTTGTGCATGCCAGGCAAGCACTGTACCACTGAATCATGTCCTCAGCCTGACAAATTATAGTTTAAAGAAATGGAACCAGAGGTTTAGCAGACATAAATACACATAAACAAGTAGACTTTTTATATTGTATGTCTTATGTTTGTCTTGCAGATATTTTAACCTTTATCAATTATTTTGCAGGAATGAGGCAAAATCAGTCACGTAAAGATTGCTTCTTAACAGAAGAAGAATTTAAATTATGGAACAGACTCTATAGATTAAAAGACAGCGATGAAATTAAGGAAATAACCTTGCCCCAAGTTCATTTTCCATCTTTACAAGATGAAGAAAACATATCAGTAAGTTGAACATGTTTTCAGAAGGTCTTTAAAATGATTATTCAATAGGTTTAGGAGTAATGAGAAATGTTTGTACTTAAAGTGTTGGAATTACTATAAAAAGTAAGGCTCTCAGGCTAGAGGTGTGACTGAGCTGTTAGAAAGCCAACCTTGTGTGGAAAAAGCTAAAGAAGGCCTCAAGGCTTTGAATTCAAGTCAAGGAAGATTGAATAGTTTAAAAAGGAATAATTAAAGACTTAACTTAAAAAAACAAACAAAAAACTCTACTAATTTAGCTGGAGCCAGCCCTGGTAGCTTACACTTATAATCCTTCTACCTATTTATGAGGCTGAGATCTGAGGATTGAGGTTTGAAGCCAGCTCAGGCAGGAAAGTCTGTGAGACTCTTGTCTCCAGTTAACCTCAAAAAGCTGGATGTGGAGTTGTGGCTCAACTGTTAGAGCGCTAGCCTTGAGCAAATTAGCTCAGGGACAGCACCTAGGGACGGCACCTAAGCCCTAAGTTCAAGCTCCAGGTTGCCACCATAAAAATGCCATAAGCTACTGTTTCTTCATTATACATAGATTTTTTAAAAAAGAGTTTTTAATAGGATATGCTAGCTCTACAGGGAAGTTTTGTGATATTTCCATACATACATATAATATACTTCATCTATCTTACCCTCTCTGTCAGTTGACCTTCTTGCTTGCTTTTTAAAACAATTTCATCTGGTTCCATTTTTTTTCAATGGTCATGTGTATATAAAGTACTTTGACCATAGTCATCCTTTCTTTTTTTTTTTTTTTTTTTTTTTGGGGGTCCGGTCATGGGGCCTGAACTCTGGGCCTGGGCGCTGTCCCTCAGCTCTTCAGCTCAAGGGTAGCACTCTACCACTTGAGCCACAGCACCACTTCCGGCTTTTTTCTTTGTGCTTATGTGGTGCTGAGGAATCGAACCCAGGGCCTCAGGCATGCAAGGCAGCCCTCTACCACTGAGCCACCTTCCCAGTCCACTATAGTCATCCTTATTCACCCTCTCTATTCACCTTTCACCTTGCACAGATACCTACCCCTAAACAAAGCCTGTTTTACTTTCCTATCATTCATTCTTACACACACACACACACACATATTTTATATATATATGCATATATATATATATATATAAATAAAATGTAATATATGTAGTGACTAATGGAGAGATTGATACAGCAACCTTTTCATAAAAGTCCATTTTTCCCTAACTTTCTACCATGTAAACATTTCCAAAGAGGCGTACTCTCACATGATTATAGCTTTACTCTGCAACATAGCAAAATTTTCTTGACTGTTTACCTGTCTTGAGATTCTTTTCAGTGTTTTGCTAAAATTATTATTTGCTAATTATATTTTTGTGTGCATCTTTATACACACTTCTTTTCTTTAGCATGTTATTGGGTTTTTATATTATAGAAGTAATATAAATGATTGGCAAGCTCAATGAAAAACAAGGGAACTGATCAAAGGTTGCGTAAATGTTGAGGGAGCTGGATAAACCTCAGGAAGTTTTATTTTAGAAGATTTTTTTTTTTTGTCTTTTCTTTTTTAGTACTGGGGATCGAACCCAGGACGTTGCACTTGCTAGGCAAGCGCTTTGCCACTGAGCTACATCCCAGCCCTATTTTAGAAGATTTTATAGGGCTTAAAATTCTCAGATAACTGAGAATTTTGTATTTTATTATCAGGAAGGTTGATATGACTCAGCTATGAAGAGTTTCAGTATCATCAAGAGATTATGAATACTTGCTTGTTATCTTGTGAGGTCTGTATCTAGCAAAATAGTACTTTTGAAGCCAAATATGTTTTCTCAATTATTTTCTCTTAACATGGAACTATGTAAACAGGAATTTGGTCAAGTTGTAACTTAGTGACAATTTTTTAAAAATATAAAAATTTTAGCCAGGTGCCAATTGCTCATGCCTGTAATCTTAGCTATTCAGGAGGCTGATATCTGAAGATCATGATTCAAAGCCAGCTTAGGCAGGGAAGTCCATGAGACTTAACCTCTAACCAACGAAAAGGCAAAAGTGGATCTGTGCCTCAAGTGGTAGAGTGCTAGCTAGAGCACAAAGGCTCTGAAACAGTAGTGCACAGGCCCTGAGTTAAAGCCCTAGGACTGGCACAAAATTAGTCAGTTTATCAGAAAGTCAAGAAATAAACAGTGTCTGGTGCCAGTGGCTCACACTTGTAATTCTAGCTACTCAGGAGGCTGAGATCTGAGGATTGCCATTTAAAGCCAGCCCAATCAGGAAAGTCCGTGAGACTCTTGTATCCAATTAACTACCAGAAAACCAGAAGTGGCACTGTGGCTCAAGTGGTAGAGTGCTACCCTTGAGCTGAAGAGCTCAGGGACAGCACCCAGGTCCACAGTTCAAGCCCCACGATGGAGGAAAAAAAAAAAAACAAAAAACAAAAAAACTTCCTTTTAGATATAGCTAGCAAGATCAATAGAAAGCCCATGGTTTGGGAGAAGATCTTCACTAGCCATACAACGGACAAGGATCTCATTTCTAAAATATACTTGGAACTCAAAAAATTAAATCCCCCAACAACAAATCCTCAAAGAAACCCTCAAATCCTGCCCAATAAATAAGTGGGCTAAAGACTTAAAGAGAGACTTCTCTGAAGAGGAAATAAAAATGGCCAATAGACACATGAAGAAATGTTCAACATCTCTAGCCATAAGAGAAATGCTAATCAATACAACATTGAGATTCTACCTCACCCCAAGTAGAATGGCTATAATCAAGAACTCTAATAACAACAGATGCTGAAGAGGATGTTGCCTGAAGGGAACCCTACTGCATTGCTGGTGGGAGTGTAAACTTGTTCAACCAGATTATTATCTGTATATTAAGTATTTTAAAGTCAGTTTGTGAAATTTCAGTATTCATATGTATATCTTTTTTGATTTTTAAAAAATTAATCCAGACTCAAACACCAACTACTGGAGTTCATCAGCTGTCTCTCTCTGAGTGGAGAGTATGGCAGGATCATCTTTTGCCTACATATCAGGTGGACCATTCAGATCGATGCCAACACTATGTAAGCATTATGCAGATGATAGAAGGAATGAGACATGAAGAGGTAGGAGTTTACTGTTTACTTTCACTTATTGGAATGGTATAATGAAGCTGGAAAAATAATCCTTTAGTACTTAACGTGAAGTTTTTTTTTTAAGTTAATTTACTTTATTTGATAATATAAAGGTGATATGTAGAGGGATTACAATTACATGAGTCAGGTAATGAGTCCATTTCCCTTTATACAGTGTCTCTTCTATTTCCTCACGCCGGCCCAGTAATTTGAAGTTTTTTTTTTGTTGGTTGTGGGGGCTTGAACTCTGGGCTTGGGCACTATCCCTCAGCTCTTCAGCTCAAAGCTAGCGCTCTACCGCTTGAGCTACAGTGCCACTTCTGGTTTTCTAGTGGTTTACTGGAGATAAGAATCTCACAGACTTTCCTGCCCCAGCTGGCTTTGAACTGTGATCCTCAGATCTCAGCTTCCGGAGTAGCTGGGATTACAGATGTGAGCCACTGTGCCCAGCAAGGAATTATTAATTTGTTGATTGTTTTTCTTGAGACAGTCAAAAAATAGTGACCATGTTATGAGTGTGAAATTCAAATGTCTCAACTGGAATTCCAATGTCATCTCTTATTAATTGTGTGTTTGTAAGTTACTTCTCTGTGCTGTTTTGTCTGTCAAATACAGATAATGGTAATACCTAATTCATAGAGCCATGAGGATTATTTGATATATAAAAAGCACTTAAACCATAACTAGCACATAATAGGTGCCCAATGAATTACAGATCCTATTTTTTCAGCTGTTATTCATGAGAATCTTTAAATTAAGTAATTAGTTGTAGATCCCAGGAAAACATGTCCATCTAATTCACTTATTTACAGAATGATTCTGTGCCACACACTCTGGTTCAAGTGGTGGTCACATCAGTAACCACAATACAATGTTTGTCTATGTAGAGCATATTAACTATCAAGGAGACAGATATTGCCAACTATAATACTTACTGTATTATTGAAGAAACACAGAGTGGTAACAGCTATAGTTCATTAATAGATGAAGAGTTCTGACTAAAGTAGCACTTTTAGGGAGGAAAAGAGTAAAGATTGCTAGCTTTAGCTTAATGGTTCAGAGAAAAGTAGACTTAGAAATCACTGTAAGAATTCCTGGTTGGAGATTTAAAAAAAATTCATGTGTATTCAAGGCTGTAGCCAAGTAGACATACGGTACCATTATTTTGGGTGTTCTGGAAGTGCTTCTCACTGTAATGCTGTTGAGAGTAAATTAAACATATACGTTTCATTTCTTTAATATATATTTTTAGGAAGTTAGAATAATTGTTCCCTTAAGTATTAGAAGTGGAAGAAGTCATTTATATTGTATCATTTATCGGTCAGTATCTATTATCCTTGTCTTTGTGTAAACAGCTGTCATGCGTCTTCTGTGTATTGAGTACTTGGGTAAAAAAAATAGTAATTTCAAGGTAGCATGATAATTTTACAGTGCTATTTTTTTTACAAGAATTATTTTTAAGATTTGCAAGAAAATCATTGGATAATATAGTATTATTTAGAAAATATTTTAATATAAAGTAGACCTCATCTTTTAAGATTACATGTTCCGTCTTTACAGGGTGAATGCAGCTATGAATTGGAAATCAAATCTTATTTACAAATGGAAGATGTTAGCACAACATTTAGCATTCCTAGGAATGAATATTTGAATCTTGCTAATGATACCATTACTACTCATAAGAAATCTTTACTAGCCCAGAATATACATCAAGGCAGTTTGTTCTCGATGGAATTTGATGAAGATCATGATGAAATTTTTAAACAAACGCACACCAAAACTACTGATAGTGGTTCCCTGAAGAAACCATCCTGTAAAGAAATGAAAAAAGATGAGCATAAAGGAGAAAAGAATGATGTGCATTTTTTACATAGTGACACAAATTTTACTGTTCAAAATGTTTCTCAGGTAGACTTAACAAATGGTAAAAGGATTTCAGGTTCACATAATATTGCCGAAACATGCACTGTTAATCAGCTAGGTGTGTCATCAGTGGAATGTCAGTTTATAAATAAGTCGACCATTTCATTTATGGGAAGTCTTTTAGATTCTGGTTTTAACAGTTTCAGTGATGAGAAATCTGTTCCCTTCAACTTATATCTTCCATCTGAAGAACTTTTTGCTGTGAGAACAGATGAACAATTTGATGTTCACTACTCATTGGCAAAAGAGGTTCTAGCTAATGTAGACAGATTTTTAGCTCATTCTCCCCCACCCCTCAGTGAACTCTCAGACTTGGAATATGATATTGCTAAAAGTTTTATACTTGAAGATTTGCATTCTCTACCATACGAAGAACATTTACAAAATCCTAAGTCCACTTCTGTGATGGCCCATGCATTGGAAGATTCGCAACAATATTTAGAAGTAGGTTCAGGTAAACTTAGTCATCCTTCTATAAAAAGTTCTATCTTTGATATGACTAATGACTGGAACTCCAACAAGTCGTGTTTCCATGAGTGTGATGATAAAATACACAATAATATTAAAAGTGAAAATTTGATATCTAATAGTCATGGTGGAATACACGTAGATTCTACAAAGAATTTGGTAGACAAAAAAACCTATGATGTTTATAACAATGACTGCCCAGTATCCCTCTCTGACCAGAGTTTGCTACTATTTGAAGATGATAATGAGTTTAATGATGTGCATCTTTCTCCCCTAAAGAGCAATGAAAAATCTTCATGTGTGTCAGAGGAAATACCTGTTAGTGAAATGATGGCTCCAATCTCTCATTTCTTAATTTCTGACGAGCTACTGCTTGGTGATGATTCTGATCCCCAAGATCAAATCATCTCTGATACTAATAGTTGGAAATCTCGTGAAAATTTGAAAGATAGACATGTGGAAACACCGAAGAAGGATGAATATGTTTTTGATTGTTCTAGAGATTTATTTTCTGTTACCTTTGATTTAGGGTTTCATAGTCCAGAATCTGATGATGAAATAGTAGAACATGCATCAGATAGGATTAACAATGGACTTTCAGATGATTTGAATAGAAAGACTTTAGATATTCCGGAGTTCAAGAATACAAATTATGTTTCAAATCAACATGGAGATTGTGTTGAAAAATTTACAAGTGGAACCAAATCTACTGTAGCAAGAGAAGAAATTCAGAGTCCAGATTTTGTACATTTTCCAGTGAATGCAGCAGAGTGTCCAGAATTTATGTCTCCTCGTTTTGGGAAGTTTTCCTTGCCAGTAGGCGAAAAAGCTATGAGTACACCACTTTCTGAATCAAAAGCAATGAATTCACTTTCTAAAATAAGGAAGAATATTCTTAAGACACTAGATTGTAATAATCAAAAAAGTGATCTACAAAGTTTCAAAAATACATTGAGTTTAACTTTTGGTGATTCAGAATTTTCTCTAGAAAAGGCCAAAAGCAGTGAACAAACTTATCTTCATCCGTCATATCATTACTCTGCTGAAGGTAAGATACCATCTTTATAAAATCCTCTGTTTGCCGGGCGCTGGTGGCTCACACCTGTAATCCTAGCTACTCAGGAGGCTGAGATCTGATAATCGCGGTTCAAAGCCAGCCCGGGCAGGAAAGACTGTGAGACTCCTATCTCCAATAAACTACTAGAAAACCGGAAGTGGCAATGTAGCTCAAGTGGTAGAGCGCTTGCCTTGAGCTGAAGAGCTGAGGGACAGCGCCCAGGCCCAGAGTTCAAGCCCCATGACCGACAAAAAAAAAAAAAAAAAAAAAATCCTCTCTTTCCAGAATAATTATCTAGAAATATGTCTGTAGTCTTCCAAATGTAACAGTGTATGATACATATGTGTACTGACATAGGTATTAGATGTATAATACTTTTCTTAAGTTGATGCTCACTGATAAAAATTTTTATCGTTATGTGATGGCAAAGGTATGGTGTATACAGTGAAAAATAAAAAATATAAAATTTAGTCCTATTCCTTGGTTGTAAACATAAGTAGTTATGTGACAGGCATCTAAAACATACCAGTAAAATGTGGAAGGAACTGTCATATAAGTCAATAAGATAGTGGTTGTTTAGTAAGTTTAGAGTATAACAAAATGTCTAATTAGATTAGACTGGAAAGACTTTATAGATAATGCTCATATAATATTGATTTTTCATTTTAGTCCCTTAGAAACATTTACAATTTAGATATATTGAATATAATAAAAACTGCCAAATGCTGGTGGTTCATACCTCATTACTTGGGAGACTGAGGTTGGGAGGATCAGTGTTTGAGGCAACTGAACAGAAAAGTTTGTGAGACCCCCCCCCCCCCCCCAATGAAGAATGGGGTAGCTTGGTGTGTGCCTGTTATTCTAGCTGCAGAGGGAGGCCTAACATAGATGGATTGTTCCCATACAGTAAGTAAGAAGCAAGAACCTATCTCAGGAAAACAAAAACAAAAACAGCAGGAAACAGTGCTGGAGGCATGGCTCAGAGGCAAGAGTGACAAGCAAGTATAAGGCCCTTTGATTTAATCTCTGTATTGCTAAAAGAGAAACAAAAAAAGTATCACTAAAGTAATTTAAAAGATGAGTTGGTTACTACAACTGAGCCCTTTATTTAACTCTGGCATTATTCGAAGATAATGAGACTATGGAAATTCTCATCTAATGGAATTTCTGAGTTTATCTGGGTAGATATTTTACTGGCAAAAAAACAAAAACAATTGGTTGTATGGGTTTCAGTCATCTAGTACTGTTTAATAAGTTACGCCCTGAAAGTTGTGGCAGAAAATAACATGGTTTTAGATATCATAGGTCAGGAGTTCTAGAGTTGCTTAGTGGAATGATTCTGGCTTATGACTTCTCAGGAGGATTGAGGAAGGATTTAATCTGGAGATGGGTGCAGTCACCTGAAGATTTCACTGGATGTTAAAGTTCTGCGCAACACGGCTTGTCCCAAAGATGTGGGAAAGAGGTGAAATGCCTTCAGGAATCCCAGGTCCACAGGGAAAGTCTTTTGAGTAGGACTCAGAGCCTGGGGATATTCTTCGTGATTCCAGTTCCATCCTTTGCATGCTCAGTGTTTTCTCATCCCAGACAGATATAGTTATTATAAGGTTTCCTAGCCTGTTTCCTTTGGAAAATCTTGGAGTTCAAGGCCTCTTCAGTATACTATCTTTTTCAGTTGCATCTGGCTGCATTTTCTTCTGTGTAATTCTGATAAATATTTAAAGATCTCTTGTTAATATTCTAGGATATCAGTCTATTAAAAACTTTCTGGCTAGTCACTGGTGGCTCATGCCTAATCCTGGCTACTCAGGCGGCTGAGATCTGAGGATCATGGTTCAAAGCAGGTTAGGGCAGAGTCTGTGAGATAAAAAGAGTCTGTGAGACTCAGAAAAGGCTGGCTAGCTAATGTGGTGTAGTGCTAGCCTTGAGCCAAAGAGACTCTGGAACTCTGAGTTCAAGCCTTAGCACAAACAAACAACTTTCTGCATCCTGTACAAGTCTTTTTGAAAAATGGACTCCAGGCTCCAGTGGCTCATGCCTGTAATCCGAAGTCAGATGCCTTACCCATTAAGCCACGCGGTCCACTTCACACCTGTAATCCAAGCTACTCAGGAGGCTAAGAGGTGAGGATCACAGGTCAAAGTCAACCCGGTTCAAAGCCAGCCCAGGCAGGAAAAGTCCGTGAGACCCATCTCCAATAAACTACTCAGAAAATCAGAAGTGGTACTGTGGCTCAAGTGGTAGAGTGCTAGCCTTGAGCTGAAGAGCTGAGGAACAGCGCCCAGGCCCAGAGTTGAAGCCCCACAACCAATTAAAAAGAAAAAAGAAAAATCTATCTTTTTTTATCCTGGGCATCTATTGAGGACAGAACATTTACAATTAACACCTGCAACGACATGATCTGGGTTTTCCAGCGAGTATTTATTAGAAAAAACTGTTGTTTATTTCCTCACAGGCACTGGTTTATTTTTAATGTCTCTTCATATGCTGATTTTTGGTCAAACTAATGAGAAACTCTTATTTAAAAGTGAAAAATAATTCTTAAGAAGTGCTATTGCCAATTTTAAAATTGTGTAAAACAGCTTAGTTTTTCCTTTTTCTTTTCTTTTTTCTGGTACTGGGGCTTGACCTCAGAGCCTGGATGTTATCCCTTAACTTTTTCTCTCAAAGCTGATGTTCCATCACTTGAGCCACAGCTCTACTTCTGGCTTTTTGGTGGTTAATTGGAAATAGGAGTCTCATGGACTTTCCTCTCCTTGCTGACATTGAACCTTGATCCTCTGATGTCATCTTCTTGAGTAGCTAGGATTATAGGGGTAAGCCACTGGCTCTCAAACCTTTTTTCAGAAATGAGGTTTCTAGAAATATTAAACTTATGTCTATTGACCAGATTCATTTTTTTTCATAATTACAGATGAACAATTATTTGTAAGTAGTGAAAGTGAAGATGAGATTTCTCTAAGAAAATGTAAAAAACCAAAAGGAAATGTTTTAAAGTCCCCTGAGGTGAGTCATTCATTAACCACAATAATTACATGAAAGGCTTTTTTTTTTTTTGGGTCTGGTCATGGGGCCTGAACTCTGGGCCTGGGCGCTGTCCCTCAGCTCTTCAGCTCAAGGCTAGCACTCTGCCACTTGAGCCACAGCGCCACTTCCGGCTTTTTTCTTTGTGCTTATGTGGTGCTGAGGAATCGAACCCAGGGCCTCAGGCATGCAAGGCAAGCACTCTACCACTGAACCACCTTCCCAGCCCGAAAGGCTATTTTTTTCTCTTAAGGACTTTGTTACATTTACTTAATCTGTTTATTTAATCTAGGAACAGAAGAGTAGTGAAGTTGATTCTCCTGTTCATGCTGTCAAAAAGCGCAGAATTCTTATTGTAAGTAAATTACAGACAATGTATAATCTAAATTCTTGTAGAATAAAAAATTGTATATGGAAAAATTTGGACATATTTGGTCTTAAAGGTATATGAATAGCAGAAAAATGGATACTATATCCTAAGTGGCTAAAATTTGTCCCTTCTGGTACTTATCAGAGATCCGTGCACTTTAAACTTTTCTAAGCATGGTAATGATAATCATAAAAACGAAATAATATTATACTCTGTTTAGGCGCTTAGCTTAGGTCTTGAAGTTCTGGTTTGCTTTTGAAGGAAATCTCTTAGTTAAATCCTGAAGCGCATGCCACAGCTAAGCAGCAGATGACATAAGGGAAAGTATTGTCTGCAAAATGAACTGCTTCAGGAAGGCCCCAAAGGTAGGAAACAGCATCTCTATATTGTTGAAAAGACAACAGTTCCAGGAAGTAAAATCACAGAAAAGTCTGGGTCTGTCTTTAGAAGTCTTTAGTCTTCTTGATTATTGAAAGAGTTTGGAAGAAGAAAAGGAAAAAGTCCATAATGACTTAGGACTTGGGCTTTTTATTAAGTATACCACAAATTTAAGAAGACAAGAAAGGGTATAAGTTTCTTGTTGGACATGTTTGGGTTTGTGGACCTTGTGGGAGTGTCAGAGTTAGACACATTGGTGACTATATGAATCTGGGTAGCTTGGCAGTTCTTCAGGCTGATGATTTGCATTTGTCATCCGCTCAGCAGTGATAGCTAAATTTTGAGACTTTTTAACTTCTGGTTGGCAGAGCAGGCGATGGCAAGTTTTTGTACCTCAAGAAAGAATTCAGGCATAGACACAGGGAAGCCTTGAAGAAGCAGATTTATTGATGCAAAAGCTAGATTTTTTTTTAAATTAGTCCCAGGGCTTGAACTCAGGCTGGCTGAGTTTTTTGTTTTTTGTTTTCTCTCAAGGCTAATGATCTACCATTTGAGCTGCAGCTTCCACTTCCACCTCTTGGGTGGTTAGTTGGAGATAAGTCTTTCTGCTGAGGCTGGCTTTGATCTGTGATTCTCAGGTTTCAACTTCCTGAACAGGAAGGATTACAGCATCCAATTCAAAAAGCTAGATCTTATGAAGACAGAATTGATTGAAAGTGGTAGTATATCCCTAGAAACAATGGAGGGTAGGCAACTTGACCAAGCAGTCAGATATATTGAGCTCTGAGTCTTTGGCAGTCTTTTATTTTATTTTATTTTATTTTTTGATTGGTTGTGGGACTTGAACTCTGGGCCTGGGTGCTGTCCCTCAGCTCTTCAGCTCAAGGCAAGCACTCTACCACTTGAGCCACAGCACCACTTGCAGTTTTCTGGTGGTTAATTGGAGATAAGAGTCTCATGGACTTTCCTGTCCAGGCTAGCTTTGAACCACGATCCTCACATCTCAGCCTCCTGAGTAGCTAGGATTACAGGTGTGAGCCGCCAGCACCTGCTTCTTTGGCAGTTTTGTATGTAGGATTTAGTGGTTATGCCAAACCTATATAAGTAATCGTAGAGTTTTGCAGGAAACTGAGGGCAGGGAACAGAGACTGTTTTACATAATAATGTGTTCTCAGAGCTAAGGTGCTAATTTGAAGGTTTGAACGTGAAACTCCAACTATAATGAGCTGTAAATGAGGCCTCTGGCTAACCATTAGAGTTGGAAAGTGTTGGAGTCACTGTATCAAGTAGTCTCACCCTTAGTCAACCATTATTACAGACAATGACAGAGCCGGATATTTGAAAAAAATGTACCTGGGTATGATCCTGCCCTTGTTCCCTGGCTTCTTTGTGTTATTCTTACTTTCCTTTCTCCCTGCCTATCACATATCATTGTGTATTTTAATTCTCTAATTCTCAATCTAGGATGTTTGGGAAATATTAATTCATAACACAAATAATCCATATTTTTTTTCCCTTTCTTTGTTTGGTGGGGATGGGGAGGGTCAGTACTGGGGGTTTGAACTCAGGACCTTGAGCTTCCTAGGCTGCCAAGCACTCTACCGTGGAGCCACAGTACCGCCTCTGTGTTTCATGCGCTCCTTTTTTTTTTTTTTTTTTTATGCCAGTCCTGGGGCTTGGACTCATTGCCTGGGCACTGTCCCTGAGCTGCTTTTGGCTCAAGGCTGGCACTTTACCACTTGAGCCACAGCCCACAGCTGGCTTTTTCTGTTTATGTGGTACTGAGGAATCGAATCCAGGGCTTTATTCATGCAAGGCAAGCATTCTACCACTAAGCCACATTCCCAGCCCTCATTAGCTTCTTTTAGAATTGGAACTCACTTCCCACCCAAGAATGTAACTGGGCTCTGATCTGCCTACTTTTGGCTTCCTGTAGTAGCTGGGATTATAGATACTCTCCATCTTCCCTTTGTAATCAGTCTCAAGAACTTTTCTTCCTGTCCTTGCCTCAATCCACAATCTGAGCCTCCTGCATATGCAGCTTGAGATAAAAGACACATACTGCTGCACCCAGCTGTGGGTTGGGAAGGATCTCAAAATTTTTTCTGTGTTGCCTGGCTTGAACCTCAATCCTCCCAATCTCAGCCTCCCAAATAGCTAAGATTCCAGATATGAGGCACCAGCACCTGGTACAACCATTCCATCGTATTTACTCCTATAAAACTTGGCTAGCAAAATTGCTTTAACTTGCTATCTTAACTAAGATGCCTCACTGATATCAGAAGTGAATGACAATATTGTTTATGCTGATGCCATCTGTTTTAAAGTCAAATTATTTCTGTTAATTGACACTATTTTGATAAACTTCTTGTTCTCGACTTATTCTGTACGAGAAGTGATGGCAGATCTCATAGTTAAAATCTGTGATTATTTCACTGAGTTCTTGGTTTCAAAAGTTTTCTTTTTTTGTTTTTTCAAATTTTTTTATTGTGATTAAGTGGTTACATAATTTCCCAAATTTCACAGCATTGTGGGATAGTGATGCTCAGTTAAAGTCACAAACACATTCTAACTTTCTTTTTTTTTTTTTTTTTTTTGTCAGTCGTGGGGCCTGAACTCTGGGCCTGGGCGCTGTCCCTCAGCTCTTCAGCTCAAGGCGAGCGCTCTACCATTTGAGCTACAGCGCCACTTCTGGTTTTCTGGTGGTTTATTAGAGATAGGAGTCTCACGGTCTCTCCTGCCCGGGCTGGCTTTGAACCGCGATCCTCAGATCTCAGCCTCCTGAGTAGCTAGGATTACAGGCGTGAGCCACCAGCGCCCGGCTCACATTCTAACTTTTGTGGGGCAAATTGTCTATCATGGTCTATAACATTGATGAGTGCTATGAGCTTTGCGATACAGTTATTTCTTCCACATTGGGTGACATGTACATTTCTTTTGTTTTGCATAGCATCAACTGTTCCCTCTTTCCCACTTGTTCCCTCCCTCCCATCGCTGCCATTGAGTAAAAGTTTTCTGTATGTTTGGATAGCCTTGATTATTTTATCTAAAACTCTTGAGCATCTTCGAGAGTAAAAATTGCTAAAGTACAAGTTTTTATCAAATACACTTGATTTAATGGCAAAGTCAATGTTATTGCTTACATTATTACCTAATTGGGCCTTTCAATATTATCTAAATTATTGGTTTTAAAATTGATAAGTATTATATCTTTGTAAAATGACTGAGTTAAGAGCAATTTTATTTTTCTACCAGAATATTGGGCCAAATACTTTCAAAGAAAAAAGAAAAGCAATAACTTTTGAGAAATTAACACTTACTTTTTTCTTATGCAAGAATTTTGTTGAATTTTTATAGCCAGAATTATCATCTAGTAATGAGAGTGAGAATTTCCACAGATCACAATTAGAAGACTTCAAATGTAACAGGGATGCCAGAAAAGGAATCAAAGGCCAAAAGAGACAGAGTCACGTAAAGGTAATTATTATTTGTATACACACACACACACACACACACACACACACACACTTACACACACACACACACACACAATCACACACACACCTTTCTAATTTTTGTTAGATTTGGTGGAGGGCAGTGCTGAAATTTTGAACTCAAGGCTTTATATTACTAGGTAGTTATCTACCACTTGAGCCACCCGTCTAGCTATTTTTGCTTTTAGGTTATTTTTATATCGGGTCTGGCATTTTTTTGTCTTTTTTTGGGGGGTGGGGTGGGTGGGTCTGGTCGTGGGGCCTGAACTCTGGGCCTGGGCGCTGTCCCTCAGCTCTTCAGCTCAAGGCTAGCACTCTACCACTTGAGCCACAGCGCCACTTCCAGCTTTTTGCTTTTTGCTTATGTGGTGCTGAGGAGTCAAACCCAGGGTCTCATGCATGCAAGGCAAGCGCTCTACCACTGAGCCACCTTCCCAGCCCCTGGCATTTTTATCTTTGGACAACAATTCATCTTCTTATTTTTTTATGTCTCCTGAGTAGCTAGTATTACACCATGTACCACAATGCTCACTTTGTTGAGATATGTCTATTAAAAATATTTAGTCACCTGACACAGTAACATATGTTGTTTCATTTCAAGTTGTCAGGAGTAATTTTAAACAGGTATTTACTTCTTTCTTTCTTCATGTTTTTTTCTTTTTTTGCTCATGTTCATTCTTGAATTCAGGGCCTGGTGCTCTTGGCTTTTCTACTCCAGGCTAGAGCTCTACAACCTTTTAGGATTAAAATCTTCTTGTTTTTCTTGGTTGGGGCATTGAACTCAGGGCCTGGATGCTGTCCCTGAGCTTTTTTACTCAAGGCTAGTATTCTAAGACTTTGAGCCACATCTCCATTTCTGGTTTTCTGGTGATTAATTGGAGACTGAGAGTCCCATGGACTTTCCTGCTGGGTTGGCATTGAACCTTGATATTCAGTTCACAGCCTCCTGAGTAACTAAGGTTACAGGCAAGAGCCACTGGCACCTGGCAAAAGCTAATTGTCATTATGTTTCCTGTGTGTCTCAGGGATTGGCTAGGATGTTTTTAGATGATGAAGCAGAAGTTTCTGAAGAAGATTCCAATTGTGTTTCATCAGATGAAAATGAGTCAGAGAATGAGCAGGATTCCTCAATACTTGACTTCCTAAATGATGACACTCACCTTTCACAAGCTGTAAATGGTAAAAAGTGATGACAGTAAATTTTTTTCATCATTTGTAATGTGATCATTAAAAAAAAAATTTCTATGTTTTTTTTTCACTAGGCTTTCAAGGATATTATTTGGTATGTACAAGACATTTGGTCATTTTCATCTCAATTCTGAATTGCTTGCTTTATTGTAGACTTGTTTGTTTACAGGTTTCTGCTCATTTGAATAAGTCTCTCTGGATTGACCTAGGTGGCTCAATGTCCAGTGCTGAAGAAGTGTTCAGCATCTCCTATGTGCCTACTGGTATACAAGCACTTGAGAAAGATATGCCAAGGAGCAAAAGGGATCAAAGGCTCATGTTCAAATGGAAGAAAACAATAGATAATACAGTGTATTATATAGTATATTGCTGGATGAGAAAAGTGAAAAGTGTAACAGGGATTCGGATTAGCTGAGATCAGGGGTATTGACAATGGACACATTGCTACTTTATCTCATTTTTATTACTTTTATTTTTTAATCTTTAAGTAGTTGTACAAGGGAGGTGTCATTTAACAAAGCAGTATATGAATACAGTCTTTCATCTCCTTCAACAATCTCATCCCCCTTTAACACATTCCTTCCCTTACATATCTTAATTTTATGGTCTATACAATGAATTCTTGACCACATTATTCTCCCTTCTCCCCTTCATTCTACTCCTCTTCTCTTGGCCTCAACTGCCCCCTCTCCCCCACGAGTACTCATTTCTTGGTGCTTTTTTATTGACTTAGTCTTTCTAAAAAGTAGACTATTTGTGCTCTCCATAGTGTCTATCGTAATTCAATTAGTTTTTTTTTTTTTTTTTTGCCAGTCCTGGGGCCTGAATTCAAGGCCTGGGCACTGTCCCTGGGCTTCTTTTGCTAAGGCTAACTAACCATCTACCGCTTGAGCCATAGCACCACTTCCAGCTTTTTCTGTTTATGTGGTACTGAGGAATTGAACCCCGGGCTTCCATGCATATTAGACAAGCATTCTACCACTAAGCCACATTCCCAGCCCCATTTGGTCAGTTCTTTTGTAACCATTTGCTTAGCACCAAGTGTGTTTAGTTATAGATTTATAGGCATATTCTATCTATTGCTAGTGAGAGATACCATGAAACCTTTGACTCTCTGGATCTAGTTTTACTTCATTTAATTTTTTCTCAGTCTTTCAAATCATTCCTAATGGCATAATATTCATTCTGATGAGTAAAATTCCATTGTGTATAATATATACCACATTTTCTTAATGCATTTGTCCATTTAGGAGCATCTGTGCAGATTCTATATTTTGGCTATGGTGAATAGGGCTGCGATGAACATGGTTGTGCTGGATGTTTTACTGTAGCCTTGTTTGTGTTCTTTTGGATAAATATCCAAGAGTGTTGTTTTTCTAATAGTCTCTAGTTATGTAGCCCAGATTAGCCTGAAACTTGCAATTCATTAGTCTTAGCTTCTTAAATATTGGGATTACAGGCATGAACTATCATGCCTGGTGATCAAGTTGCCTTTTTAAGATAAGGGAGCAAGCCTCATTTAGAAGGTAAGGCATTTGATCAGTAGCTAGAAGAGTAACATACAATGTGATTATTAAAATCAGTTGAAGAAAAAGTCAAACTTACTAATGTGCCAAAGAAGGGAGACTTGCTTTTAGAAATTAATATGTATCAGTAATGCCTGAACACACACAGCGCTTGCAGAACAAGAAACTCTGCCTGGCTATAACATGGGAGAAATATTAGAATTGGCTCTTCAGTATCCTGGTTTTTCACAGATACTGTCTTTTAATTCTGCTTTCCCATGACCTGTGACTTTAAGGAAGGAAAAGGATTTAAGGACAAAGCTCTCAGCAATGCATCCTGGATACTCATGATGTGTAGAATAAGGTTTATTCCATGATGCTTACTGACAGAACTGGCTTCTGCAGGGTTACAGTATAGTCTTTGGAAGTATGGTGATCCCAAGGTAACAAATAGCCATTTCATAGGCCCTGAAGCAGCCTTAGTCTGGAATAGAGAGAAAGAAACTGGGAAGAGACATAGGCAGCCAGATTGTGCTCTAGCCTATTTTAGTATAGTCTCATGGTTCCAATGTATAGAGCTTAAAAACATGGTCTTTAGTCAGCCAACTAAAGATCTGATTTTCAGAGGCAAAATAATCTGAGTGTGTGTTTTGGAATAAATCATGTATGATATCATTTACTATGTATTAGTGTCTAATATTTGTAATGTTTGAATGATGTAACTATAGACTAGGCAAAATGAAATAACTCACTAGTTATTTAAATATTATTAATGTATTGCTTATTACTAATGTTATTTACTTTATCTTAAATTCTTTACACAGATTCTGAAATGAGGGCAGTTTACATGAAATCTTTGCATAGTCCACTGATGAGCAATAAGAACAAAATGGTTCATAAGAAACATAACAACATGAATATTTTCTCACAGGTATGAACTGTAATACAGATAATTTCCTGATAGTGCTGTTGGAATATGTTCTTGTTAATGCAGCCTCCATTTTGTTTCTAAAATGGGTAACTAAAGATGTTTAGGGATCATTTCTGCTCAGTCAGGAAATTTACTGAATGAGTTCTCAAGATTCTCCTAATTTGGTTATTCTTTCTTTAAGCTAATTAGAATACATTGATAAAAATATTCTAGTTGTTTAAATGAATAGAATTTCATCATCTATTATTAAAATTTTAATTCTCAAATGTCATACTTAATAGTAAAAATTATTGGTGATCTTGTTGCTGTGTCTTCCTTCCCCTCCCCTCCCTTCCCCTCCCTTCCCCTCCCTTCCCCTCCCTTCCTCTCCCTTTCCCTCCCATCCCCCTCCCTTCCCCTTCCCTTCTTCCCTAGAATATGTAAATACACACAGATTCATAAGAAGTTTAAAATATTTTATGTGTTTTTTCCTTAGATTCCTGAACAAGACGAATCTTATTTAGAAGACAGTTTCTGTGTCGCTGAAGTAGAGTCCTCCAAAAGCCAATCAAGTGGCGAAGAAGTTTGTGTTGATTTTAGCCTAATAAAGGAAGATAGTTTTGCAGAAGGGAATAAAAAATATAAAACCCGACGTGCACTAATGCTGAAGCAGATGAACAAAGAAAACCGTACACGTTCCAAAAAGAAGTTATCGAGAATTGTTTTTCCAGATGATTCAAGTGAGGAGGAAAAGAATGAAGAGGGCTCCCGCACTGTGCTCCATGTTCACTTGGGTAGTGATGATTTGGATGTGGTGCCTTGTGGGCCTCCATCACTGCCCAGGGGCCTTTCTAATGCAGTAGGAAAGCTATCACCAAAGCCAAGACAAAAGATGCTTCCTAATTTGAAGGACACAAGTTCTGAGGAATTAGGATTCAAGCCACAGAGACATAGTAAAATCAAACCTATGTCATCACCTGGCCCTGCTCTTGAGTCACAGAAAGAAGATGGACAATGCCCAGCTGGGTTAAAGGTATGGCTCAGACTAAAGAAAAAAGCCATTGTGTGTGTGTCAAAAAGGTTTATGTTGGATCTTTTTGGCTTTGCATTTTTGTGTGTTTGTGGGAGGGGGGTGGGGAGGTTGTCAGTTGTGGGGCTTGAACTCAGGGCCTGGGTACTTGTCTCTGAGCATTTTTGTTCAAGGATAGCACTCTCCCATTTGAGTCATAGCTCCATTCCAGCTATTTTTTGCTGGTTAGAGATAAGAGTCTCATGGGCTTTTTTGTGTAGCCTTGCTTTTAATCATGGTCTTCAGATCTCAGCCTCCTAAGTAGTTTGGATTACAGGCATGACCCACAAGTGCCTGGCTCATAATGTGTTCTTTTCTGGCCAGTCTTGAGGCCTGAACTGAGGGCCTGGACATTGTCCCTGAGCTGCTTTTGCTCAAGGCTAACACACTACCATATGAGCCACTTCCAGCTTTTTCTGAGTAATTATTGGAGATAGGAGTTTCATAGGGCTAGATGTTGGTGGCTCACACCTGTAATCCTAGCTACTCAGGAGGCTGAGGATCACAGTTTGAAGCCAGCCTGAGGAAGGAAAGTCTGTGAGACTCTTATCTCCAGTTAACCACCAGAAAACCAGAAGTGGAGCTGGGGCTCAAAGTAGCAGAGCGGAAAAAGCTCAGGGATAGCACCCAGGCCCTGCGTTCAAGCCTGACAGCTTACAAAAAAGGCCTCAGGAAGCCGGTAGTGGTGGCTCACACCTGTAATCCTAGCTGCTCAGGAAGCTAAGATCTGAGGATCACCATTCAAAGCCAGCCTAGGCAGAAAAGTCCATGAGACTTATCTCCAATTAACCACCAGAAAACCGGAAGTGGCACTGTGGCTCAAGTGGTAGAGTGCTTGCCTTTAGCTGAAGAGTTGAAGGAGAGCACCCAGGCCCAGAGTTCGAGTCTTATGACCGACAAAAAAAAAAAAAAGGTCTCATGAACTTTTCTGTCTGGGCTGGCTTTGAACTGTGATCCTAAGATCTTAGCCTTCTTTTTTTTTTTTCCCTCTTTTTTTTTGTTTTTTGTTTTGGTCGGTCATGGGGCTTCAACTCTGGGCTTGGGCGGTCCCTGTGCTCTTCAGCTCAAGACGAGCGCTCTACCGCTTGAGCACAGCGCCACTTCTGGTTTTCTGGTGGTTAATTGGAGATAAGAGTCTCACGGACTTTTTTGCCTGGGCTGGCTTTTGAACCATGATCCTCAGATCTCAGCCTCCTCAGTAGCTAGGATTACAGGCGTGAGCCACCAGCACTCGGCAGTCTTAGCCTTCTGAGTAGTTACAGCCATGAACAACCAGTGGCTGGAAGCATAGTATTCTTTCATGATGTTCTCCATTAAATACCTAGACCAAAGAAAAATTATAAAAAAACGAACAATTTTAACAAAACTACAATATACAGAGTTTATAGGTTGCTTAAGGTTTCACTTTTAAATGTATTAGTTTTTTAAATATCATATAAAGAAATTTGATAATTTCATGAAAATATAGGAAAATAGGGTCTTCTATAAAGTGAAGTGCATAGAAATTATGCGGTGATAACTAGTTCTCATATCTTTTCTTTTCCCAAAAGGCTTCAAGTATGTAATTCTTCTATTGGGGAAGGGAGTTTGGGGGCCATATCTGGGTTGTTTATGAAGGGTCCAGTTTTACCTTTTCCCCATGTTACCCCATTACTAAAAAAAGCACTAAAAACATTTTTGTTTTTAGAACTTTATCATAGGCTGGGAATTTCACTCACTGAAAGAACACTTGCCTTGCATGCCTGAGGTTTGAATTATTTTGAATTATTCCTAGTACATTAAAAAAGAAGTATGCTAGTAATACAGGTATGCAACACTGTGCCTAGCTTGAGTATATGTAAAGTATTGTTTCTCAATAGCTAGGGTATCCATCTTTGTTTAGCTGGAAGGAGCAGCCTTACATTAATAATACAAAGCCAAATAATCTTAACCTCTCTCCTTCCCTCTCTTCCTTCCTCCCTCCCTTCCTCCCTCACTCCCCCCTCCCTCTCTCTGTCCTTTCCTTCTCTCCTTTTTTCCCTCTCTCCTTCCTTTTCTTTCCTTGTTACTTATAACAAAAGCTAACAGCCTTTGCAAGTGAAAAAAAAATCTCTATTCCCGAGAGGAGCAACAGAAAAACACTGGGCCTGGCAGATCTCCAAACTTTAGGTGGAAGGGGAAGATACTGGGAAGTTTTTCTGTTGAGACCTAGGGACACAGGACCTAAGACTGAGGCTGAGAAGACAATAGCAAACATTACTTGCCTTGCATTCCTGTGTTCCCTCCCACCAGACCTGCAAGGAACAAGGAACAAAAGCCATTTTCTGCTGAGGGAGGGACACAAAGCCTGGAGAAATAACCCACTGCCAAATCCAGAGTCCTGAAGATTTGCCTCTGGTACCTGGTTGAGAGTTCTATAGGTTTAGTTCCTTAAACTAGGTCTCTGATCATTTTTGCATTAATCGTTATATGTTTATGTTTTGCTCTAGTAGGGATTAATCTAAGGGTTAACTCATGCAAGTGTTCTATCAGTTGCGCTGCACCTGAGTGCTTTTTTAGTTTACCTTTCAGATAGGGTCTTATGCTTTTGCCTTGACCAATCTTCCTACTTCCACCTCCCCAGCGCCTGGGATTGCATGTGTACACCACTATGTTGGCCCATTTTTCTCTCTCTTCCTCTCCAGCTCCCCCTCCCCTTTCTTTTCGGCAGTACTGAAGTTTAAATTCAGGGCATTCAGTTCTTGAATTTCCAGCACAAGAACTCTGTCCACTTGAGCCATGCTTCCAGTCCTTTTCATTTGTTATTTTTCAGATAGGGCCTTTTGATTTTGCCTGGAGCCAGCACTGGAGAGCATTTCTCCTACCCCCACACCTTCCTAGTAGCAGGGATTATCATCATACTTGGCTAGCAGTTGAGCCACACACAGCTCCACTTCTAGCTTTTTACTGGTTAACTGGAGATAAGAATCTTGTGTACTTTCCTGTTCAGGCTGGCTTTGAACTGTGACACTTAGATCTCCGTCTCATAAGTAGCTAGAATTTCAGGTGTGGACCACTACCACTTGGCTCTTGTCTAGTTTTTGAGGAAGAGGCTCAAGGACATTCTTTCTCCTGATGTTGTCCTCAAATTGCAGTTCTCCTATTCTCCATGTACTGTCAAGTTTGGTATATACCACCCTATCCTTCCTCTTCATTTAAAAATCAAGAAACACTTGGCTACCTAGTTTCCCCAGCACCTTCTGTTCCAGAGACTTGCTTTCCTACTCAATGATATTGAGTAAAATCAACTGAATACGAAAGACTATCAATTATATTAGCTCATCTGTCTGTTCTTATACTGTAGTGATTTCATTGCTTTGTAATTACTATAGTGATTTGTTTTTTAATGTTTTGAAATGGACTTCCAGTTTTTTGTTTTGTTTTGTTTTGGTCGTGTGGCCTGAACTCTGGGCCTGGGCGCTATCCCTCAGCTCTTCAGCTCAAGGCTAGCGCTCTACCACTTGAGCCACAGCGCCACTTGCGGCTTTTTTCTTTTTGCTTATGTGGTGCTGAGGAATCGAACCCAGGGCCTCAGGCATGCAAGGCAAGTGCTCTACCATTGAGCCACCTTCCCAGCCCCGTTTTTTTTTTTTTTTTGAGATTGATTTGGGTATTTGAGATCCCCTGAAATGCTGAATGAAATTAGTGTGTTTTTCTATTTCCACCAAAAATAGATTTTGGAATTTTGAAAGGGACTTCATTGATTTTGTAGGTCATTTGGTTACTATATTGGTTACAATATTAAGGCTTCCAGTCCATGATAATGGGCTATTTCTTTCGGACTTTAATTTCTTTCACCAATACTTTATAGTTTGTAGCACACAAGTTTTGCTCCTCCTTTGTTAAATTTATTTGTAAATACTGTATTCTTTTCTGTGCCATTATATATAGGATTACTTTATTTTCTTGCTGGATTATTCATTGCGAATGTATAGAAATACATGTGATTCTCACTTGGTGCTTTTAGCTTTGCTTTTTTAAATGGCAGCACTGAAGTTGAACTCAGTAAAAATTTAGTTATATCCCATCTTTTACAGATAATTTTAGAATTTGAGACTTCTCTTTTCTTTCATCTACCACTTAATTACCCAGTAGTAGTGGGTTTTTATATTATATTGGAAAGACAGGTTTAATTACATCCTGTCTTTCTTTCTTTTTTTTTAAATTGGTTGTGGGGCTTGAACTCTGGGCCTGGACGCAGTCCCTCAGCTCTTCAGCTCAAAGCGAGCACTCTATCACTTGAGCCACAGCACCACTTCCAGTTTTCTAGTGATTAATTGGAGATAGAGTCTCATGGACTTTCCTGTCCAGGCTGGCTTTGAACCATGATCCTCAGATCTCAGCCTCCAGAGTAGGTAGGATTATAGGCATGAGCCACCAGTGCCCAGCTTACTTTATCAGTTTTAAAATAGTAAGTTTGCTTACTAGCATTCTCCAACATTTAAAAAAATATTATTATTATTATTTTTTTTTTTGGTCGGTCATGGGGCTTGAACTCTGGGCCTGGGTGCCCAGAGCCACAGCGCCACTTCCGGCTTTTTTCTTTTTGCTTATGTGGTGCTGGGAATTGAACCCAGGGCCTCAAGCATGCAAAGCAAATGCTCTACCACTGAGCCACCTTCCCAGCCCTGTTACTTTTTAATAATGTCTTGGCTTCATAGCCTTATTCTTCCAGGGGAAATCAATCTGCTTGAAGATTGTTATTTTAACCATTCATTTTTTTTTTTCCAGCAACAATTTTTCCTTTTGAAAACTTGTTTTCTGATCATTTTAAGGCTCTTATTGCATCTTTCAGCTCTTGGCTTTTGTGGCTAAATCCGTATAGCGTTACAGTATTTTTGGAGCCATAAGAGTGTGGCATGGTTCTGTGCCTGCAGTCACATGTTAAAGAGGAAAAACCAAATTATCAGGGAGGAAGATGACATCAGCTGGGTGGAGCTTATGGCCTTAATACATACTTACGCAGATTGTGAACAGTGTTTTCCATTCTTTCAGGTTGAAAGTGCTCTGGAGGACCCTTGCACTTCCCAGGAATTCTCCTTTAACTCAAGACCACCTGTGGCTGACACGCTTCCTTCCCTTAGACCTCCAGTGGAAGGAAAAAGGACCTGTATTCTTGTAAATAGTCGTGAAATCACTTCTGGTTTAGAAGTAATTTCTTCCTTAAGAGCAATTCATGGGTTACAAGTAGAGGTTTGTCCTCTGAATGGCTGTGATTACATTGTGAGTAGCCGCATGGTGGTAGAAAGGATGTCGCAATCTGAGATGTTAAATACTGCCAATAAGAACAAGCTCGTCAAGCAGATCCAGCACTTGCACAGCATGTTTGAAAGAATATGTGTGATTGTAGAAAAAGACAGAGAAAAAGCAGGTGTGTATTTTCCAATGTCTTTTTTTAAGACTGTAAAGAAAGTATTGTTTAGTTCATTCTGTCAGGAAATGGAAAACTCGGAAAATATAAAAATTTCACTCATGATTGTTATTTTACATGTTAAAATCATTATGCATTTCATCAGTCATGGTAACTAAATGAGGCTTCTGAAAATTGGGATGTGAACTGAAGGCAAGTAACTCATGGCAAGGCTTTTCTTGGAAACCTAGAAAGGACGGACCTCTAAATAAAGTAGCAAGGGGGAAAACACATAGGACTGAGAGAGATGTTTAGGAGTCATGCTTTGGTAGGCAGAGTTAAGAATTACTCTTGATTGACCAATTTCTTTGTGTTCGGTCACAGTATTGCTTATTGCAGTTATGTATTTCTTCTAGAGTAGAGAAGAAGCAGACTTAAGTTTCCAGTTTGAACAAGTTAAGGTTAACATAGAACACAGTTAACACAGAACACAATAAAACACACATATAAATGCTGAGCATGTATACCAATGCAGAATTAGTATTGCAGTCCCAAATTTTCTCTGGTAACTATTTAATTGCTTGAAGATCCCCTAAAAATAATGAAAATACCACGAAATATGGAACAAGATGGTGAATGAACTTCTGGTGTCTTTATAGCTATTGCTGTCGATTTGTGACTTTGACAAATCACTCCTGGGTGACCAGAGTATAAAGTATTCAGGTACTTGCCTCATAAGCAAAAGGCACTATGGAAAAATTAAGGAATTATAAGAGAAACAGTTCAGTTTATATAAAACATTACTTTCAAAGTTCTGCAACTTTACATGCTGTCACTTGTGATCCAAAGAACTGTGTTAAGCCCCTGCATTTTCAGGTCCCTGCATCAGAAACCTGGTTGGTTTGTTTTCTTTGTTTTTTTCCCTCCCAGACTCTTCCTTTATTTGCATATGAAATGAGTTCATATAAAATTGGATGAAAGATACTATTCTTCAACATGCTTTTGTTTCAGCATTAGCATTTTCCATATGTACTTTGCTATGCTTCCAAAAAATTTTTGTTCTCCTTTTTTTGTGTTTTTGTATCTCAAATTTGGCACTCCCTTTCCTCCTGTCTCAGCCAAGGGCTAGGTACAGGTATACATGGTTTCTTATTCTTGTGATTTGATTTGAGGAGTGAGAGCAAAAGGACATTGTTTAGAACAGAGAGTAATAGAGTAGAAGTTGTGGAAAAATATTTTTGTGGAGTAGTTGTATTAAGGATTGCCAGAAAAGAGATGTAAGTGGAATATGGAAAAGAACATACACAGGGAAGTTAGTTAGGTAAGTAAACTAACGAGATGATGACATTAAAATGGGCACGCAGACTCTTTATTCACTTAGTCTTTGGATTACATAAGATCATTTAAACAGTACTTAAAATGAGCTTTTCATCAGTGCTAGCATGAAAAATTAAATGAATTAACATATTCTTGCTCTTCAGAAACGAAACCTCAAGCTTTAAACTGTCCATGTTTACTCTGTGTTGGTCTCAGTTCAAGACCCCTAAAAGGTAGTTCTTCCTATTTTCTCACGTTTGATAGTCACTTTAAAACTAGCTGTAAGGAGCTGGCCACCAGTGGCTCACGTGAGCCACTGAGGAGGCTATCTGAGGATCATGGTTCAAAGCCAGTGCAGGCAGGAAACTCCTCCATGAGACTCTTCTCTCCAATTAACCACCAGAAAACCAGAAGTGGTGCTGTGGCTCAAGCGGTAGAGCACTTGCCTTGAGCTGAAGAGTGTAGGAATAGTGCCTAAGCCCAGAGTTCAAGCCCTATGACCAACACAAAAACAAATCTAGCTGTAAGGTTTCTTATTCATACAATGTGGCACTAGTTAACTGAGGTACTATAGAAACTAGAGTTCTGATAGTCTAGAGTATTTGAATTACTACTTCATGTTTTAAAATTTTCGCTTCCCTAACTATAAAATGCTTAGGAGACACATCAAGGATGTTTAGAAGAACAAAGAGCTATGACAGTCTGCTAACGGCTTTAGTTGGTGCAGGAATCCGAATTCTTTTCAGTTGTGGACAAGAAGAAACTGCACATTTGCTAAAGGAACTTTCTTCAGTGGAACACAGAAAGAACGTTGGCATTCATGTTCCAGCAGTGAATACTAAAACACGCGATGCACTTCAGTTTTATTTAAGTATTCCCAACATAAGTTACATAACTGCATTAAATATGTGCCACCAATTTTCATCTGTGAAAAAGATGGCCAACAGGTATGTCTATTTTATCTTAAAATGATTATTATATCTTAAAATGATCCTTATATGCCTCTCATAAAGTTTCAGTTTTTTTTAAATTGAGGTATAATGGCTGTAATTAACTAAAGATTTGTTGCATGGGGCTGGAGATACGGTTCAAGTGGTAAAATACCTGCCTAGCAAGGGCAAGGCTTTGAACTGCTCTAGAACTGCGTAACACCATCACATTTATTGGAGTTACAAGATTTGGGGGGAATATTTAATCCATTGCAGAGGTTGAAATCATTGTTATTGCATAAGATCTTAAAGGAAAGCATTTGGACCTTACTGAAATTAATACTAAAGACAAACCAACTCCATTTACAATGCTTGGGAAGACAGGATTTTCTTAAAAGCTATTAAGTGGTATTCCTTCGGTAGGGTAAGAATATTCAGTTTCATAAAAACTGTGTTTTTCTTTGTCTAATTTACTTTTCAGCTCGCCCCAAGAAATCTCCATGTATGCACAAGTAACTCATCAAAAAGCCGAGGAGATCTATAGATATATTCACTATGAATTTGACATACAAATGTTACCAAAAGATCTTAACCAAGATAGACTGAAATCTGACCTGTGATCAGACTGCTCAAGATGTGATTATCAGAGAATTTTCCATAATACTAAATGCACTACAGTCATCACTTGTGGTCTGTATTGGACTAAAATATGTAAATAAGAGTTTATCACGTAAAATGTTAATACTGTGTATTTTTATTTATATAAATTACTTTAAAGGAAACATCTGATGTTGAATCATTTTGCCTAGATTACTTAACTAATCTTTTAATTGAATAAATCAAGGTTCAGTTAAGAGTACTATTGAAGGTAAAGTAAAAAATGGTCAGGCATAATAGTGTCCCTGACTGCTGCCACCCTTTCCTGTCCTCTGTCCTTTCTCCTGATACACTGTTGGGCAGTGAATCAGTCACAGCTTCCCCTTAGACCTGGCAATAACTCAGAACTCATCTAATGTAAATTTCCCCTTTCCTTCTTGTGACAAAAGTGATTTATTCAAATTTAGACCCAGAGCTCTGGGTGGGACTACATACAGTTCTCTTTTTCCACTGTACTAATGAAGGTAAACACAGAAAAGATATGTTGTATTTCTAAATACTCTCCTCTGAGATTATATACTCAATTCTTCTAAATGCAGCTGATCTCTTACCTGCTATCCAAAAATTCTGTCAAAATCAGAAAGAAATTCACTCAGTCTCAGTATCTGTTTGGCTGTAGCGAGTGGATAATTTTATTTTAACAGCATTTCTCCTTTACAGTGAGCATGATGCTGAGTTTTTTGAGAAAGCAGAGAGAGACATTTCTTAGTGGCTCCAGTGTGCTGCCACCTGCTTAATGTTCGTCACTTAGTCTTTATCTTTACTGGCAGGGGGAAGAGGGTATGGAGGAGAGGGTAAGACTTTCTGATGGTGCTCTAAGAATGTTGCTGTTAAAATACAGTCCCTCTACAACTTCACAATGCCCTGTACTGGTTGGTGGCATACAGGAACAGGAAGGACACTGAAGTTGTTCTGATAGGATATAGGAAGCGATGGTTTGGGTCAAATCCATGGGATTTCAAAATTGCTATGAGACTTTCTAAACTTCTAAAACACTAACCTCAGGCAGTATAATATTATACCAAAGATTAGCAACTCAAGTTATACAATAATACATATTTTTTTGTCAGTTGGGGGGGAAGGGGGCCTGAACTCTGGGCCTGAGTGCTGTCCCTCAGCTCTTCAGCTCAATGCAAGTGCTCTACCACTTGAGCCACAGCACCACTGCCAGCATTATCTGTTTATGTGGTTATGAGGAATTGAGCCCAGGGTCTCTTGCATGCAAGGCAAGCACTCTACCACTGAGCCACCTTCCCAGCCCTACAGTAGTATTTTTTTTTACAGTAGTATTTTTAAGGGTCACTGTAACATAACCTTTCCTTTTGTACCTATCCTATAACTATCAAAATGCTTGGTGGCTAACGGAGGATCTTAGTCCAATTGAACTATTCTCTTCAAATCTCACTGCTGTAAATCCTGTAGTTAAACAACTGCTATTACTAAATTCTTAAGAAACAAAGTGTTTCTTACTGAAAAAGTGTTTCTGTACTAAAGGTACAGTGTTTTCTGAGTATACTTTAATAGGATCAATAACAAAATGTATGTCTTAATAAATCAAACAATCCAGAAACAATATAAAAGCTAAATAGCTTTATTAGAAAAATAACTAAGGAAAGAATAAGTGAAGTCTACTGTAACCAGAAGGGAAATGATTTGTTAAGTTTTAAAACAGAAAAAGCTAAAAAAACCAAAAACCTTATTCATAAAACAGCTGCCACTGAAAGGAAAATGTCCACATGACATAAAATTGACTCCTTGGCGTGATTAAGTGAATGTTTCTCTAATCTGGTCTAATCTTTAAATTATTGCTGCAGTGTATGTTAGGTTGTAGAATGCCATACAATATATTTCCTGGTTCCACCTAAGATAATGAAAAAGCAATAAATTAAATTTACATAGGTTTCGTAGATAAATCAATCAAAAGATTTAAGAAAAACAAGGAAGAAACATGTTAAATAGTTTGAACAGTATATAATTTAAACATTAAGTCAATGTGGTTTGTAGTATCAGGTAGCAGCAAATGCTAAAAGTTTTCATTAGCTCCTAACCCAACCTCTTCCATCCCTCTACCCTCCTTCCCCCACTTAAGGGTAGTACATATTCTTGAAAACATTTAAAATGTACTTGGGACGTGACTTTGTTAAAGTAAACAGACTTAGAAGCTCATAAGAGAGAACTACTTTAATATTACAAAACATTTACAAGTATCTATACAAGCAAAAGTGTTCCTTCCATTTCTAGTAAGCTGAGCACTGAGGAATATTCTATATTTTACTTTGAATTCAATTTGAATTTGAAAATGTGTAGACAGCCCATATTTTCACATGAAGCTATGTTACAAAGAAAACCTAATGCTCTAAATGAAGTTACAAATACACTATCAACTTCATGGTAAAAATCCTGGAAATCCTATTTTCTCTTTTTTACTATGAATCACAGTTTGAGAAATAGTAATCTTTCTCTTCTTCATCTGAAGATTCCATACCATTGATGAATAATTTTCCAATACCCAAGTTTTCTCCTAAATCTGTAAAAAGAATTGAATAGAAATGATTAATTCCCAAGTAATTTTAATTAAACTGCAAGGAACTAAATGGTAAGTTGGTCTAGTTAAGTGAAAGCTAGTTAATTTTAATATCATCTAAACAAATTGGTTACCTGTAAGAGAATTAAGCTACAAAAGAAATATATTACCTTTGTTAAAGGAGGTTTCTCTTGGTAGTACAGTTGGGAAATCAGTTTCAACCTACAAAAGAGTTCATATATTAACAGTGAAAATAGTACCTCCCAAAGTTAAGTATGCTTTATCTCCCAGGTATTCCAAAAATAAAAGTATAACATCATTTAATCACTTCATAGTTATCTATAAAATGCCTAATTCTTTTCTGAGCTTATCCAGGGAAAAGCCTGGGACTTACTCAGTGTTGTCTTCCATTACTGGCAAACATTACTATAAAAAATACAATAAGCTAAGTTGCCAAAATGTACTAAGCACTTATGTCAGGTCATCAATAAGCTGAGCTAATTAAAAATATAAGTACATTTTATAATCAAAATAACTACAGATACAAACATGTCCAAGGTCCTATAAGTAAATTTAATCCCTGTGAGATACACACTGTCTACAAAACATTACGCTATGAAAACAGTGGCTAAATCATGAATACAGTTTGGTAGATTGCTTAAATTATAATCTACACCAAGGAAAACAAAAGCCCAGAATGAAGATGACCCAAGAAAAGACCCTTATCATCCTTATCAACCTCTCATTTTGTGGAAAAAAACTGACTATATTAATGTCGCTGTGCTCTATAGCAGAATTAGCAGCAGGAACATCACCTGGAGCTATTAGATTTACAGAATGTCAAATTTATTGTGTCAGAGTACCTGATAAAGTAACCCAGCTTATTGGGTTGCAAAGCAGAAACTAGAAACCTCATCTTTGGACTCTTGTTACTATATTAATTCCTATTTACCTTAATAAACTAGCTTAGAATATTAACTCCAATTCCTCTGTAGGAAACCAAAATTTCATTCTCATTAAAGAATGAGAGATTACAAAAAGAGAATCTTAAGGATTACTGAGATGCTTGGTTGGTTCTATCATGGAATCACAGTATCTTTTGAAGAACTGAGTCCCCAGAGACACTTCTCATATACAAATGAACCCTAAGACATAAAATTATACAATCCTAAATTTTAGAGATTACGTAAGAAATTATACCCTCGCCAGTTTGCAAGGTAAATGTTACAAGAATGTAGGAGAAAAAGAGAGGGCCATATTTAGATTGAGAAAGTATTTTCAGAGGACAAGAGTATTCTCTCCCTCAACTCATCCCCATTATCCTTCTCAAAGATTCTTCCACACTAACTTTACAAATGTACATTTGACTCATTCTCATCAGCCACCTGTAAATCAATCCTTACAAGAATTTACATACATTAGGTTTTAAGTACCTTCAGAGCAGAGACTTTTGGTTACTACCATAACTTCTCATATTTGTTCTACAAAAAAAGTGTTATTTACATAAGAATAAAAATACTTACTGTTTTTCTCCTAACCTTGCCCCAGACAATGCCACCATGACTTCTATTAGTTTTTTGCATATGAAAAACATATCTATCACAATCATTCCTGTTTGAATAGAAAACAATGTTGTCAAAATTAACTGTCAGATATATTTCTTTTCCTTTTCACCAGTACATAAGCTTGACCTCGGGGCTTAACTTGTTCTAGCTTAGCTTGCTTGCTCACTGCTGGTGCTGTACCAGCTGAACTAAGCTTACTCCATTCTGCTGGTGAATTGGAGATAAACTTGCTCAGACTTGTATGCTTGGGCTATAGCTTCAAAGCTCTATACTCCAGGATTCAGTCTACAGAGAAGCTAGGATTATAGGCATGAACCTGGCTATCTAATACTTTTATCTGTAAGTTGAATAGCAATTGATAAAATCTAAATCTGCTTTATTTAAATCTTTATCAAGTAAATTAGAGTGGAGTCTCTTGAACTTTACTGCCTAAGCTCCCTTCATATTGCTTGATCCAGCTAGAATTACAGGCATGACCAACAGCACCTGGCTCAATCAACCTTTTTATTTTATTTTCATCTTAACACTGTGTAAAGGAAATAAGAATATTTTAAGAAATTTTGCGTTGCTTACTGATTATCTCACCTTTTTTCCTTACTGACACAGAAAAGTGTAATCTGTGATTGTATGCAGATATTTATCTGAATCACAAATACTGCTAGCAAATGAGTAAACTAGCCAGTTGTTACCAAGTTTCTAACAAATTCACAGGCCTAGCCAGCTGTTTAGGAATAAGCACCTCATAAAAGACTCTTGTTGCCGGGCGCTGGTGGCTCACGCCTGTAATCCTAGTTACTCAGGAGGCTGAGATCTGAGGATCGTGGTTCAAAGCCAGCCTGGGCAGGAAAGTCCCTGAGACTCTTATCTCCAATAAACCACTAGAAAACCAGAAGTGGCGCTGTGGCTCAAGCGCTGTGGCTCAAGCGGTAGAGGTAGAGCGCTTGCCTTGAGCTGAAGAGCACAAGGACTGCACCCAAGCCCAGAGTTCAAGCCCCATGATGGACAAAAAAAAGACTTGTTAATACG